GAATGAGTGAACAGAGGAAGGGGAGTTTGAACCCTGTAAAGGTAGCAATACCCAGGTCCTCTCTGAGCTATTGCATAGTTCAGCAAAGGCCACAACCACCACAGGGAGGGGCCATTAAGATGGAGAAGGGCCTCACCATCAAGGGAAAAGAGGTAGAAAAAGCTCTTGTGCAGGCAAACTTAACAGAAGCACTAGGCACCTTAAGTATCCCTCAGCCAGGTACGAAGACAGTTGTATCTGACAATTCCCACAGTGAACACAAGTCATTCAGAGGCATGATAGAGAAGGGACTGGGAATTTGGAGCTTCCTATTCAGCCAATTAATTTGTTTACAATGAATGCTATCAATGAGGATGGCCTCCACTCCAGATTGGCTGCTTTGGACATGGACCATCCAGATTGAAGGGTGACTTAGCCAATGAGCCCGAGTCAGTAACAAAGTTGCTGGAAAAGCTCAGCAGGTCTGGCAGCATCTGTGGAGGAGAAAACAGTGTTACTGTTTCGGGTCCGGTGACCGTTCCTCAGAACTGATGGTGGCTGGGAAAACGTCAGTTTATATGCAGAAAATAGGGAGGTGGGTGGGGTAGGGAGTAAACAATAGGATAGAGCCCAAAGAGAAAGACAGTTGGACAGACAGAGGAGTTGCTAACAATCAGGCTGGGAGGGTGAATAGTTGTTAATGGGGACTGTTAGTGACTAAGTCACAGCCTGAGTCAGTGATTAGGATATCTTGCACCCCCTCCCCTAGCCCAATCGTGGTTTATCTATTTTAAGCAAGCCAGAAGGGTCATGACACACCTCTAGAATCTCTTCAACTCGGGCCTTCAGGTCCGGGGTAGGGTCACTACCGGTGCACCACAAGAACCTTTCCAACTGTTTAAACCACTGTTTTTAAACTATGAACCAAAAAGGCTGCACTTGTGCCTAAAAATTAAATGTGCATCTTATTTCCCTCTACAATACAATATCAACAGTCCAGCGGCTTGTTTCATTCCTCCCTCTTACCAAGGATATCTTCTATTTCAAGACCACCCCACATTTCCAGGAGTCTTTTCTTTTTCAGAGGCTGTGCAGGCTTCTCACTACAATACAGCTCAAATGAATGCCTCTTTTAGTCAAAGCTAAATATTTTTGCAGAAAGGGAAAAGCACTGCATACATTGGAAATCTGAAACAAATAAAGAATGAAGAAACCTCCACTAATTCTGAAATCATATTAGACTTGACACCATAACTTTTTCTCTCCACATGTACTACCAGACCTGAGCATCTCCAGCATTGTTTGGCATTTAGCCTCATTGACAGGACAATTCCCTTCCTGTATACTTCCCATCACCCCCCAGCATAACAATGGTTAGCCTGGGCAGTTGACATATGCTCTTCCTTCCTCCCATTTTTACACAGCACAGCATACCCCAGATATCTTTGGGATTTGGATTTCCTGTCACCTCGAATCACCAAATTTACTTCGACCTCTGCTTTCAGGGTGCCCAATTAGGTCTTTTAAAAACTGCTTTCCTATTTCTCTGCAAGTCTACTTCCCCCCTTATTGCAGGTACACTTTTCCTTGCCCAGGCAGAATATCATTTACACTACTACAAATGGCATACTAACCTGCTCACTTGTCAGTGAGGCCATGTGCACTGCAAAACTACAAACCTTCAGTGCCAATTCAGTCACGCTGTTGTTTGATCAGGACCTAGGATTTACCATTACCAAAAAAATGAGCAGACCTTTGCACATTGAGAGAATCACCACCACTAATAGATTCTTGGTCTCATTGTGTTAATGATTTTTGTTTTAAAAAGTCTGTTGAAGCAAAGAAAACATTAAATTTACAAAATGCCTTCCTGTGGCTTCATTTTGCCACAAAGCTACAAGAAAATGGATTGTATATTGTATATCAAGTGTCACACTTGCATATAACCACATCAGTCAGATTCAACGCTTTTTATTACCCTAACTTAGATCTTTGGGTTGTGTAAGTTAGACATTCAATTTCCCAAGTTCATATATTTTGAAAATTTGAGATTCTCTTCCTAAACCTCATTTCATATACCCTCCCAGAAGATCTACTTCCTTCTGTTGCAAGCCTCACACATTCTAACCAATTTCTGGGTAAAGCCATTCCTCCCAATCCCCTTGTGGATGTATTAGCGGCCATCATATTCACATTAAATATAGCAAAGTACAAATTGCAGGTCTTCAGTGGGTTGTCTTTCAGTCTCAGTTAAAACAAGGTAGAGCAAATTATACACACAGCGATAGACCTCTTCACTCAGACGTGCTGTGGCTTTCAACTTAACCATTTCTGAAAAATGAATAACTCCGTGCATATCACAAAATTGCAGCCTAGAACATTCCAGCCAGAGGCTGCTGCACAAATGAATGAACTGCAGCAATGAATTAGTAAATGAAGCTCCATTTAGGACTCATTAAATTATAAAAATCTACAAGACAGTATAAGTTATAGCAGAGGGCACCATCCACAGCTATTCCATCTCAACCAAAGGAAGGACATTTTCATCTTGCAGCGAGATCAAAACAGTATTAGGGCTCACTTAGGACAGCTTGCACAGACTAGGCATGCATGCCTTTGGAGTATTGAAGATTAAGGGGTGATCCAAATTCTCAGGTTACGTTAAAGGATTTCACAGCAAGTAGAACAAAACCAATTCTTCAAGTACAGCACATCCAGAACGAAGAGGACATTTACTTAAAATGAAAGCCAGACCAGTGAGATCAGGAAGCACTTTACTACCATGCTAGAGGAACAAGGAAATTCCCCTCAAAAAGCTTAGGATGTGCATCATATTTCAGAACTGGGACTGAGTTTACCTCAAACAAAGTCTCTACTTAGAACACAGAACCACCACGGAAACAAACCAAGATCTGCAGGGAACTAACTAAATCACGGAACTGAACAACCTTTTATTTCCCCTTATATTCTTAAGTAGCATGGATTGCTTGTGTACAATGACAGGTAGGCCACAATCATTTGAACCTCAAAACAAAAACTCATCTGCACATATTTTAGTCAAGTTTCCCCTCACCTGAAGGCCGATAGATCCATGGCTCAGCTATTCTTCATTTCTCCCCCTTCGCCTCAATTTCAAATAATCTGTTCAAATGGGAAGTGTTGAAGGATGCTCTTTCAACATGATGCTCAACTCAGCAAAAGTTATGTAGTCCTTAAAGTATCAAGGCACTTGGAGATAGAGGAAAAAGAGCATCAGCCAAAGAAAGGATTGGGGAGTATTTCAGTAAGGGTATTTAAAACAAAGAGTTAAAGGAAAAGAATGAGGATATCCACATCTTTGACCCTAGGTACGTAAAAGTTCAACCAAACTGGCAAAGAAAAATCGGGGGATACACTAAGAATTGGAGAAACAGGAAGGGCATGGGAGCTTAAAAAGATGGAGGGAGTATTAAAAAAAGGAGCAAGGCCACAAAAGGTGTTTAACCAGGTCCAGGAAACTAAATTTTAAAAAGGCATGGGAGCGGAGGAAAGAGTTGATGTACAAGCAGGAAGAATTTTGTTTATGGCAGTTGGGGGCTTACATAAGATGAGAATTGGAAGCTGTCAAATAGCTTATTTTGAACAGAATTCTTTTCATCCCCCAAAAAATACTGCTGCTTTATTTGTATGGAAAAGTTCCACTTGTCCTCCTTGATCTTAACCTCCAACTTGACTAAGTGAACAATGACTCAGGCAGAAACCTTCATTTCAAACGTATTACAGATGGAATGCCAAGTTTACATTACATAAGTCACCAAATAAGTTTTAGCCAAAGCATTTTTCTAAGTCTGAGAACTAAGAATTTCAAGGCTTCTAACAAGTGAGAATGATTGAAAAGTCTGTAGGTGAAAATCTCACTACAGGACTAGAATGTAGCTTCAGACATCTAAAACAGTATCAAGGAAACAACATTATCACAGTTGCTTCTTTTGATTGCAACATGCAAGTTGCACTTGCATTTTCAGGTGATAGATCTAATGTCTTACAAGGGAAGAGGATTATAATTTCAGTATTTATCCCCTCAACTCAAGTAATTAATTATGTATCAATATATTGTTCAAGATGCCATTCAGTACTGCATATTTCTATACTGCAAACAAAAACTGGTTAGTAAGTAACTGAGCTCATGGCAGTCACTATTTACATTAAAAAAAAAGCTTTTTCAAGTAAAATTGAACACACCTCAGTATCAATGGCCTCGTGGGGAAAGAAATGCTGATTTCCACTACCTTGTGAGGTAATACTTAGGAGTTCATTTCTGAATGGCCCGGCTCCAATTTTAAAATGGAGCCTCTGTAGTTCTAGATTCCCCAATTAGGGGAAGCATCTTTTTCGGCTGATTAAGTTCTTCCATCATTTTAAACATTTCAATTGGACAACCCTTTAATCTTCCAAACTCAAGGAAATACACAAACCGGAGTGGTAATCTGTCCTCATAATTCACCCTGGGTGCAAAGTATATAGATGAAGCACAAAATGAGTGAGATACTGTAATAGTATTTATTGTTAAAGATCAATGGTAAAATTGATCCTGCCACTTGTTCAATTTCTCTCAGTCTGAAGATTTCAATTGTGTTAATGCTCCTTACTTACAAAGAAAGCCAGTCAAAACTTCCATAACGTTTATTTAAAATAAAATTTCTAATAATTGGAAAAGAGAATCGCTCACCTCCATCTTCAGTAGCCAAACAATTATTTGACAAAGCACTTATTTTAAGGGAAACAAAACCTAGCATTAAGGCAAAATGCATTTTAATAATTACAGGGTATAGGGAAGTGCTGTTGCTCAAGTTTTATTATAGTCAAATCATGTCAGTGCCCCACACCACCATTTCCGTTCCATATAGTCCAGACCATAAATTGTTTAATAAAGATATCACTATAGTTAGCACAGCCTTTTTCTATAAAGTGTTGTAGATTGGTGGTGAATATGTAAGTGTTGATTTAATAAGCACTTTTATAAAAGACAAGGAAACCACTACTTACTTTTCGCTTTTTAATTTCTTTTTCTAAACACAAATACATTAACAAACAGCATACAAACAGAGGTATCAGTGATTGAAATGGTGCATGAACTGCAATGGTACATGGTGCTCAGAGGCAGTTTGAGCCTCAACAATGGAATGATTTCTTCACGTTTAAACTTTTCATTCATTATAAATTTATTTTAAACAAGCGTATTTTTCTTGCTGTCCGAGCTGCTTTTTCAATTATACAATTTCACTTTTCGGGCAAGCAAGAGATAAGGAGAGCAAACATGGCCTTTGGAAACTTGTGCTTGGGAAGGCAGCAGATTCCATGTCAATTATGTCTCACATTCCACCATATTGTATTAAGGTTACAGAATGACATACATTTCACAGAAAACGGGCTTCAAAATGAACAATGGCCTGGAGAAACACAACCTAACCTTGGACCAATGAACAGTGGGTTGTGTCCCCCCACTTTGAAGTTATCAAGAGTTTACATGAGGTTTGTGTATTGATGCAATTAGCTTCCGCCATTTCTCCAGACTCCAAAATACTATTACATACGAAAGCAAAGTTGTAATCTTTAAGCCCATACAACTTTGGTGGGGGTGGGCCAACTGAGGAAATGTGATGGGCCAGCTGGTCAACAAATGGTTAACATTGGGTCCTGGCACAAAGTCCTCCAACTGCACTTCATTCAGTATGGTTATTTTTAAAAACCCAAGAAAAGCTTTAAACTTCAGAACATCAAATGTTCAAACAGACACTGCCAAGCATGCTCCATCAGTTTTTTGTCCAATTGGAAAACAAAAGTTAACGAGCAAACTATAAAAGTATCAGCAACACTTGCAACTGAGAAATTGTATTACAATGGTAAATACAAATTGGTAAGTAGTAAACTGGCTTGCAGTGTTGTGTTAAGAAATCACTACATATTTGGTGACAGTACAGATGTTAGAGACAAACAAGCCATGCAGTTCTGAATGAACAACAAACTGCAGAGGAAGAGAAAGAAAGCTTGCCTTACCTACATTTTGATCAAAATCTAAAAGCAATTACAAAGTTCAGATACTGTATCCAAAAGACATTTCGTACATGTTGAGAACACCCTTCATATTTGACCCAGCTTTTAAAAAAATTTTCCAAAAGGTTTGTGCTCGGTGCAACACAGACTATTTTGAAAAGTATGAGATAACTCAAAAACACCACAGTTCTACGACAGCACAACTTCCAATCCGAGCAACTGAAAAACAGAAGTACGGAGGTTTGTGAATGTAAGGGCACTTTTACTGTTTCCAAATCAAAAGCTGGCTTGACCCAAGATCATTGAGACTTGAGCAGCAACAAGATTGTAACCATGGGGGTTCAGAATGACTTGATCATAATGACCACAGTCAATGCCATCCAACTTTAACAACATGGTGAGCAAGGTGACACACAAGACACAAAAACACTACATAGTCCCAACCACACAAGGCCATGCAATAGCAACCATTACAACCATCAATTTTTTTTTTTTGTTTCTTTTTTGTCTCTTTTCCAGGAGAGGGAGAAAGGGGGATGAGGGACAGGAACAGGTTGGCAGGTGGGGTGGGGCTGACATTAAAATCAGCATGTTTTTCTAAAGACATGCCAATTCCATTTTCAAAACCCAATGGACTATGAAAAAAAGATATAAAAGTATTGTACAAGTTTACAGTGTCACCCTGGAACACTGGTTTACTTTTTTTTTTAAATTTTATTTTTGTCATTTTATCCATCAAAAAATATAAACAAAGAAATGGACGTACCCAGTGTTCCAAGGGTGTTTTCGTTACTATTCTTTTAGCAAGTTACCTGTTCTGGGTCAATTGGAATGGATACACAATTGAGATTGGATTAATTATATTTCACATAACAAGAGGGGAGAGCAGGTGGTGGAGAGAATTGGTTATCAGCCCTCATTGCTCAAAAATTCTCTGAAGAATGGCTGTAATCTTAGACTACGTTATTAGATAGATAAGTCACTTTCCAATTGAGAAAATGTTACTATTAATTTTTTTTAAAAATTCTCTTCCCTGGAATCAGCATCTTCAACTTTTACTACAAAGTCACATGTACATTGAAGAGTGAGAATGCACTGTTCCAAATAATTATCTGGTCAGGAATAAACTTGGAGAGCACATCCTGAACTCATGATTCCACAGGTTCCTGAGACAACCACTGTTCAAAACTGGACTGCAGAAAGGGTCGTTGCTAGTTGAAATCTGTGGAGGCAGCAGAACCTTCTTGAAAATTACAGTTTACATATGCTACTAGATGTTTAACACTGTACACTTACAACAAAGACAATCATTTAGACAAAGATTTTAACACTGGTGACTGACAGAATTTAAGTGTGAAATGCCAAGTAGGCATGGGCAAATCATGCTTCATGCAAGAGAACATGACATTTCTCCTGCTTCCCACCAAATCAAGGATACCATAGGATTCAGCCATACTGCTGCAATTGTGGTCTAAATCTTATGTTTAATAATAAATGTGAGAAGCAATAATTAAGAATTGACAAGATGCGATACAAGACAGATTGAGTTTTATCACCATTTATGTAGTCCCATTTCTTTCACATGACCAAAATGGTAGTATTAACAAAATCAGCAACAATGCCATCATGGAATGTACATAAAGGACATAAGAGGAGCTATGGAATATGATTTAGAAGCATATGATTTAAAAGCAACTATCATAGCTAAAAATGGGATTTAGATTGTATCCTATGGTTCAGTTCATTCTACTTTTACCACACATGGGGGAATTAAAACCAGTGTAGTTGGGAGAGGGCAGCGGGAAGAGAGACAGACAGAGACAGACAGTTGAGGAGGGGGAAGGGCTGGGGGGGTGGACTTGGAGGAGGGACAGTGAGCAGTACAACAGGGTTATTTTAACAAGATGAAGCCAATTCACCCATGCTGTGCAGAGACAGCCTCAACATTTTTCGTATAGAAACACAAGGCACTGAAAGAAAAACTAGATCCCTTAGCATGACAGCACACATGACAACAGCAGCCAAAACCATCTAGACAGAACACAGGATCAGGCGAAAAATACAGTAGTAATGTCACATTGCAATGGTGGAGGGGGAGGGGAAAGCACAGGCTAACAGAGGGGGGTGGCAGGGTAAGAAAACAAAAAAAGACAGGGGATGAGAACAGACAGGAGACAGGGATCAATATGGTTTATCACCACATTCTCTTTTTGATATTTAGTAAAAGTATTGAGAAGCTATGGAATATCTATTATTAGCAGTAACTTAAACCAAGTGATATTCAACATGAAGTGCCAGATGTAGAACTGGTAGTGTTATTGCTAAGATTTCAGCCAACAGAAAAAAGGCTGATGTTGCCTTGCACAGTAGTCAAATTCCTTCCAAAACCAGAGATTATTTTTCAGGGATCCAGGGCTCAACCATACACAGGCAAGAAATAAATGCTAGCCCTGCCAGCAACACAAAACATGCAGAGAATGATTTTTCAAATAAACGTGACCGAAAAAATGTGAATAAGCAAAGCAGTTCAGGAAGCCTGAAATTTAAAAGCAAACCAAGGAAAGCTAACCTACTATGGATCATAGAGACTGATCCAAGCACAGAGGAATGACCTAAATGCTACAGGAGAGTTCTGCCAACTACAGAAATTCAGAAGTCAGACAGCACAAAGCTAGGTGAAAATCAGGAACCATTTCAAGTGCATTGGAATTCACTATCTTTATAGTTCAGGTCTCCTGCACTTTAAATGCATGGCATCACCAAAACGTACAGTTAAAAACACCAAGTTGATCAGCAAGGTGGACACTTGGTATTGTGGAACAATCTTTTCAGAGTGAAACAGCTACACTAAACCTGCCAAGTGGTCGAAAGCACTGAAATTCAGATTTTTACTATTTCAAAGCATCCTTCATGTACACTGACAGGAGTCATACTGCCAGATCTATTATATGCCATGCCACGCCACCAATGTAAAGGTTGCAATTCTAAAATGTGTGATTACACTGACAACTTAAGTTGCACATCCCAACAAGCAAATCAAATTGGATTTCTGAAGTCTCAGTAACAAAGATGGCCTGTTTATTACTGTACTACTGTCTGCCCTGATTGAATCCAGTAAATTACAGGCATTTGCATAATTATAATTTAACTGTCCAGCAGGTTTGAGTCTCAAGCCTGAAAAGACAAGCAGTACAAGTTTAACTACTTAGAAAACCAATACAGTTCAACAATGGATTCCATTAACTGAACACTAATCCAGCAACAGGTTCAGTTTTAACCATCTCCTTAAAAGTAAGAGGACCACAAAAGAATCTACTTTGTGGTGTATTCTACTAGCTCTTCCCACAATTAGTAGCAACCTTCCTCACTGAAAAAAAATCTACTGGCCTCCTCAAGGCAACATGTCAACAGTGTATATCTTAACCAAAATAAGACGTCAACTAGCCTTCAGAATTGATTGAAAGAGGATCTGACCTAGTTGCAAGCAAAACCCCCAACCTGATTCATTCCAAAACAAGTTTAAGGAGTCAAGCAAATAACTGTACCCAATTAGAGACTTTTTTTTTTTTAAAAAGAAAAAGCTGTACTATTCCCAGCAGCACAAAATTTAGTACTTTTGAGCAATTGCTTTATCAAAAATATCAATTGCAAAATACTGGAAAATATTCATTAGCAATCTGTACTTGCAAGTGATGAACAAGCATCTACAGTCCAATCTTAAACATGCACTTTGCTTTTTATGCAAACCAACTTCACGCTAATTCAAATATCATTTCTGCAAGCCCGGCAACCCTGCACAAAGATGTTACAAGATACCTTCGCACCACTTCTTTAAATAAAAACCATTCCCAGACTTTGGAAACATTTGTAACAGTTTACTTAACTTTCCAGAGAGAAAATAAGGTGAGTGAGTGTCACTTTACCCAGAACTAGAGCAAAGGGAGGAAGTCCACAGCAAAACAAAAAGTGAGAGCAGGAGACAAGAGAATACACGTGCAGACAGCTGCAATCAGACAAGTCACACGCGCCATGCCACCGCATTTGAAATGGAGTTACCAATTTAAAAAGTTAAAAGCAATTGCGCTGCGCTGCAGGCTGAGAACATCCACTCAGCTCCCGTGTATCAGAAACTGCTCAGGAAGAGCTGCAAGTTCTTTCAACTATGACAGCAACCTATATAGGGAACATCACACATGTTTGCAAGTACTAGGGGTGGGGCAGAACAGGTGGATAGAAAGAACATTTTATTAACTGTTTCTTTTTAAAATACATCATTTATTACAGGTCTTCCAAGTCTCTTTCGAAGGGCCAATGTGGATTTAAGAAAGCCTTGGCATTTAGAGCAAAATGCAGATCATGGTATGCAAATGGATCTGTAACTGTTCTCACTTTCTTCGTGTAAAATCTTCCTCCCGAAGAATGGTCCAAACATTTGCCAAATATGCCAGGATGATTAAGGTTAGGTCTGAAAAACCATTCATGGACATAAACTGGGAAGAAAGAAAAATCCAACCACATTTTGCATGTTAGCCAGCACTAAACTGGAGCCCCAAATTCTGGCTACACTGAAGAAGGGTCAATTGAACCATTGAACACTAGGGCCTTTTTTTTTTAAAATAAAAGAAATTTACTACAGCCGCCACAGAAACACGAGTTTTGTGCCGAGATGATTTGCCATTTTTTGTGAACTAGAACTGTCCGAGTAACGATGCAATTTATTTTCCCCAAAGACTGCCAATTGCTTGTAACAGGAACTTGCTAAATGTGAAAAGCGTGCCTTCTTTCTCAGCCGACAGTCAGAAATCCACATCCTTTAGTTGCTGGGTTTTATGTTGGAGCGAATTTCTTGGCCTGTGCTCGCACTCGTTTTTCATACTCTACTCTGTTCTGGCTGTGAATGGAAAAAAAACACGAAAAATGAGTCGTTACAGATTTGGGAGAGAACAAAGATCTTGGAATATTTTTCTTATATAAAAGTAAAGGAGAGTGGATTATTTAAATCCCCAATTAGGCAACAAACCACTTAAAAATCTATGCACTGTGCACCATTGAGAAGATACCAGTAAACGGTTCCTACATTATTTCTGGACCCATAAACATCAGTTTGTTTCCAGGTGGTCCACGCCTCAATTCTTGAGAAGTGTACGCAGAAACTGCTGAAGCTGAATTTAGCTTATTCAAGTCCAACGTTGGAGAGGGGAATCCTCATTGCAAGTCTATATCCAACTTCAGCCTGGATCTCAAAACAAACGTGTCCCTATCACCTGTACTCATTCATTTAATAAAGAGGAGCAACAGCAGAAGCAAGCTTTGAAACAATTTAATTCACATACCAGGTGATCTGCTGCCCACATTAATTTTTAAATATCTCATGTAGAATCACAGCATGGTTATGGCATAGCAGGCAGACATTTGGCCCCAATGCAATTTTAAGCTGTACTTGCAGAGTTGACTAGCCCTTTTGTAAACTGATTAACTCTGCCTCCACACTCTAGCTGTATATTCAGATTCTGACCAGATGATGCAAATGCTTTGTTTTGTCACGTTTCTTTTGCCATTTACTTTAAATTGGTATGCTTCTATATTTGACCTTTCCAACAATGAGAACCATTTCTCCCTATCTAGCCTATCCAGATCCCTCATATTAAGAGTACTTCTCAAGTCACCCCTCAACTTCCCTTCTCCAAAAAGAGAGAAATCTCAACTTCTCCAAACTATCCATTGAAGTCCCCATCCCTAGAATCATTTGCAAGGTTTGCCTAAAACAACTGCCAGCACATCCTAAGAACCTTAAACATCCTTCCTAAAAGATGTGGTCCAGAACTATACAATACTCCAGTTGAGTCAGAATCAGGTTCATTATTACTTTCTTGCTTTTCTTTTCCTAAAAGAAAAGGTGACATGCTGAAGCTTTTAGACATGTGCTCATCAGGCCAAACAAGAAATTTCAAAGGATTACAACAATTTATACTCAAAGGAGAAAGGAGTGTTGGATGACTGCCCAAGTCATTGCTGTTGAGAAAGCAACCAAGGGGGCCTTAATCTTCAAAAGAATGTTCAATGATCGAATCTATTCGGTTTGTGAGATTAGCTCACAATGTGTGCTTCTTGCTTCTAGAGAGCCTTCTAGTAATCAGGCAAGTTATAAGGTTGATTAATCTTAATGTAGGTATTAGCTCAGGATCAAAAAATACTGCCCCATCTAACAGTCAGCATTATTTTGGGTTTTGCAAGCACCGTTGGTCAAGTATTGTTTATGCTACACTTATTCCAAATAACCAAAGGAACATGCTGCTTGATTCAAATCAGCCAATTGTTGGGATACAAGGTTTACTTACCTAACATTGCACTAGCACTAATTCATAAACAGTACTCAAGCATGTGAAAAGCAAAACACCTTTAGACTGACAGCAGCATAGTTAGTGGAAAACTCCTCACTCACAGCAAACACACAAAACAGTTTCATAAAACTGTTCAAAGTTTTGATACACTGCCTTTCTGGGGTCATAGAAGGCAAACCTGGGATTTCACTGGTCTGAAAGTGGCAGCTTCTGGTCCATTTGACAGTATGGGTAATACACACTGAATAATGATCTGATCAGAAAAACAATTATCTTGCAGGATAACTGATGCATTCTATTTCCACTAAACAATTAAGTGTGCTATTAGATAAACTAATCAACCAAATATGTTCAAGCCTTGTACTTGTTCAATTACCACGGAAGTTGGGGAACCTTGCTGCTTTCATCATGGCAGCATTGTGCCTTGAGTGAACTCACCAATCAGCACCCATTGCTCCTTTGATACAAATTGTTGCAATTATCAACACTATCAACACCACCCTGATCAACTCCAGTACCTCAACAAAAAGGTTAAACGTGATCTGCTGTTAATAAATCAATGGTGATATCCATTAAAATCTGTCCAGATGAAAGTTAAATTTTGTCCCAGAATATCATTCTGAAAGCTCTCACATCTGAAGTTAATTGACTAGCCAAAGATTTGGAGGTTACCCATACACCCTTTGCATTTGGGATTCACCTGTCCTCTGGCCCCACTCCTAAATGGGTGAATGATTTGAAGATTGTGGCTCATACGTCCACAATCTTTCTTATTTCCCTTGGTATCCTTAGATTCATCTCATTTAGCTCTGCTGACTTACCCACTTGGGAGTATAGCCAGCATACCCAAGCCTAGATGATTAATAGAGATCAAGTAGTATATACATACAGAAGATTTTATGTCAGCTGTCAGATTCTTATATTTACCTTTTTCATTGCTCTGTATAAATGACATTAAATCAAAATATTGTCTTGGCATGCAAATTCAAGAAACATTCTGCAATTTGCATTTCCAGGCAGAAATCATAGGCTATGATTTAAGCCTCCAAATCTTCTAGTTCTGAACCTAACAGTTCAGATTCAGCTTGTGATTATATTATGTTTATCTGAATTTAGTTAGCAAGCTTCCATCTAAGACAGATACTTGCAAAGGACTAAACATCATTAATGGATAATTAGCCATATATTATTTCGTAAGCTGAATGAAGTACATCACTGAATAAAGGTAAAGCACCAGCAAAGTGCAGGCAGTATGATTGTGTTCAGTCTGTAGATAATCCCAGCATCAGAACCAGGGAATTAAGCTTTTGCTATAATTTCCCAACATTACACCATCCAATCATAATACAAAAGGATAGCAGGACTAATGGCTCCAGAAATATCAGACAATTGTTGTTAACTATGAAATGGATTGCTCAATGAGATCAACATCAGGGGGAAAAAAGAAGAAAAATTAAATAGTGTCACAGTGATTCAATTAACTTTTCCTCTAATAGAATTAAGCCAAATGGTCACTATATGGGAAGTATAACTGCAGCGCTGGGCTTACTAAAGCCATGCATTTGTTAACAAATCCTACGTACCAGTAGATTGTGTATGCTTCTGCTTGTGCTGGGTCTTGAATGTTTGGTTCGTTTAGAAGTTCTTGAATTCCTAGTAATATCTATTTTAAAAAATAGAGGATGGGTCAGTGGTGGAAAACAAAACAAGTACTGCGGAGCAGACTCCACAAAATATATTGGAAAAAAATGAAAATTATTTCTGACCTGCTTAATAGTAATAGCAGGTCTCCAATCCTTATCTTCCTCTAGAATGGATAGACACACAGTACCAGAGGGATACACATTCGGGTGGAATATTGGAGGCTCAAATTTACCTGTTGATTGGTTAAAAAAAAACTTTACCTTCAATCGTGTAGGTAGAATTAGTAAGGATATGCACAAGATTGCCCAGGGACCGTCAGAATGAGCAAATTTGTATTCGCACCATACTCCTCCCGCTCTGGTTACTCATAACCAAAAATACACAACTGTTGCAAGGTTTTCAGGTTTCGTTTGTTTTACACAAAGCTACTCCTGCTGCCTTTGCCCATTCCAATTCCTCTTTGGAGGGGGTAATAACCTTACTGACAGAGGCCTGATCTATTGCACATGGAACAATAGTTTTTTTACATTTAGGGTTTAAAACAGACATGAGCAGGTACCACCTGAAGCAAAGAATCTTCAGCACATGAAATATTTACTTTGCGTTAAACAGTATGGATCATGAGCATGCACATATATCCATTCAACATAATGACATGCCATAATAAGCAGATGTGCAGAAGGCCAGGTCAACTGTCAAACTAGACTATGGTTACAGCTGCCACCACTTAAAACAAGCAGTTACCTATGCAGTCCAGAAAAATTAGGCTGCAAATGTATCTCTTGAATAAATACCAATGCCTCAACAAAGAAAAAAGCAATACACGAAGTATATTTCAGCCGAAAGTAGCCACATTTAGGACAAACTGTCTTCACATGAAGGGTTTTTCCATAAAATACAGCTTAATTGCAACCAGTCAATGCTTTCCATCAAGAGCAGTTGCTAGGATTCATGGAATCACTTAACTACGATGCTTTTAAGTCTAAAGGACAGCAGAGGCTGCTGCAGAGCTTTCTTCCCCCTGCCCCCCCCAACCAAGAAAATGATTTGTAAATCTTTACATTTGTAGTACTTGATCATACAGAATTGCCATTACTTCAGTTTCCAAGAACAGGATTTAACCAATGCTAGCTCAATCTTTACTTTTCACCCACTATCATTTTGCCAAATATGCAAATTGTTCTGCACTTTATACACAAACAATACAATGAAGGTGACTGATATCCAGAGTTAGGTTTGTCCCCAAATAAATTTTAGCCTGTTCCAAAATGCCAAAAATTGAGGAATTCCCAAGTAAAAATGAAATCCCCAGATGAATTTTAAATTGGACAAACATTAAAAAGCAAAAACCCCAGAGTGACTATTAAGTTGAAGAGCCACCAAGCGTGTCTCATTTACTCCAGAGAACTGACAGATTCAGTGGTCAGTTATTCAACTTCCTTCTTGGTCAAAGACGGAAATGCCTATACATGCTTACACTTTGGTGGCGATGAGGGGTAGTCATCCTTAAACAGCATCCGAAGCTTATACTGCCCACCTTCCCACGGCGTCTAGAAAAGAAAAATGACTCAGTCAACCGAATACATCTAACCAGGTTACTAATCAAGACTGCTTTAATGTCTTGAGTCAAACACCAGTTCAATTGTTATATAACACAGTCAAGAAAAAAGTGGGTACAGAAAAAGCTCAACCAGAAATATTTTCAATATTATCAAAAGTTGTCTGAAAAATCCAATTGTATGGAAAGTCGTTCTGAAATGCTACTTGAGCCCCTGATCATAAGAAAATAAATACATTACAAAAACTATTTTTAATGAGTATGTGGGGTGTGAAAGCCCAAAGCAAAACAGAGGATTGAGAACTCAAAATGTGATATCTAGTACAATCTAAATTATCACAGAATACTGTCTAATTTTTAAGTACAAGAAAACTATTCCAATACATAATCTGCATATCTCATGGGAGTGGAGGTGATCTTGATATCTCCCCAAGGTTGAGTCTTCCTGCCTTAATGCAGTTGAGGACTTACTAAACTACTTCACAGGGCAATTAAAAAACAACCACATTGAGAGACTGGGATTGCTCATAAAAAGGGCACAAAACAGTTGAATATTTTTAATAAGACATCATAATAAAGTGATCATGAAACTCAGGTTTACTTAATAAACTGTCCCTGGTGAGTTCTTTTGCATTGGATTTTTATAAAAAGGACTAGAGAGTCTGCAAAGAAATACAAAAAGCTTTAATGAATGCGCAAAAATCTGATACATGCAGTAAAATGTGGGAAAATGCAAGCTTGTCCACCTTGGCAGGGAAGACAGAGAACCTGTTTTTATTATACGACTACTCCTTATGCAAGAGACCATTACTACAGAACAAGAAAACAGAGAAGGAGAATTTTTTTCCCCAACACGAGTCTGCAGATCTCTTCCCCAAAGGGCAGGTTTACTGAATATGTTTAATGCAGAGTTAGATAGATTCTGGATTGACTAGGGAGTCAAAGGTTACAGCAAGGTAGAGATCAAAGCAAGGTCAGAGCTGAGGTCACAATCAGATCAGCCCATGATCTTATTAAATGGCCAAGAATGGGTCAGTCATGGTCCTAATTCTGGTGGGTCTAATCTGGAATACTAGCCACAACACACCACTCAAATGCCTGCACTACTGTAAAACAGCAAACACTGAGTGGAGGGCAGTTTCCGCAAGTTTCATTTAAATCAGATGTCACCAGCAATAACAAGACACTGTCAAAATAAACAATTTTCATTAAAATAAAGCTCAGCATTATTTTTATTTTACATTACTGGGGCTACACACCAGCACTTGGGGGAACTTCCAAGTTACTAAATACACAAAACAACTTGGGGTGACTGAAGCCTTTGACCATGGCCCTGCACAAATTCTACGCTCTCTCCAATGTCAACATTCGAGACTGCCTCAGCTAGACTGTTTGCATAACCTCTTGCCGACAAGCCGAGTTTCCAACAATACCTCCATCTTACCAACAGCACCTCCATCTTACCAACAGCCTCCTCTAACAGTGCCTATTCTCAACCAATCTGCTGAAATCACATACAAGTGTTGAAAATTAATAAGAAAGTCATAGAAAGACTGTTGGCACTTTAAGATGACAAAGCACTGAGACTGGAATATATGCATCCAAGATTTTTAAAGCAAGGAATTTAAGGAGCTCTGGTCATAATTTCAGCCATCCCTGGATTTGGGAGTGGTGCCAGAAGAACTGCAAACATTATTGCCTTGCTCAAAAATGTAGTAAGGATAATCCCAGCAATTACAGACCAGTTTGCCACTGGTGGTGAGAAAGCTTCTAGAAACAACTGTTCAGGATAGAATTAGCAGTCACATGGAAACAGGTGAGTTAATTAGGGAGAGTCAGCACGTATTTCTAATGGGGAAACTGTATTTAACTGACTTGTAGCTGTTCTTCTAAAAAAAAAAGAGAAGACTCAATGAGGTCAACACTGAAGTGGTTTCTATGAATTTCCAGAAGGCATTTAGTAAAGCATCACAATGAGATGGAAGTTACAGAATATCGTATAAAATGGATTGTAGCAACATGGATACAAAAGTAGCTGAGTGACAGGAAACAGAATAATGGTCAATGGATATTTTTAGACCTGGAGGAAGGATTCTAGAGAAGTTACCCAGGATCAGTGTTGGGACCTTCATTTTTCCTGATATATAATGTTCTGGATCTTAGAAATGCAGGGGACAATTTCAAAAATTGCAGACAACATAAACCGGGAAGAATTGTAAACTGAGGGGGAAGAGCGTAGAACTCCAAAATGGACATTGACAAGTTGAAGTGACCAGACAGGTGGCAAACAACAGTCAACGCATTTGGACAGGAAGAACGTTGAAAGACCATACAAGATAAAGGGTACAATTCTAAAGTGGTACAGGGGCAGAAGGACCTGGATGTCTATGTGCACAGGTCATTGAAGGTGGCAGGAGAGATGGAGAGAGCAGGTAAAAAAGCTCAAGATACTATATTCCTATTAACAAAGCATATAAAGAAGTACAAGCGCAAAGTGGTGACGTTGACCTTGTTAGACCTCAGCTGGAGTACTGTACAGTTGTGGGAACCACATTATAGGAATCTTATGCACACATTGGAGAGAGTGCAAAGCTATTTAGAAGAATAGTTCCAGAAGAGAAACTCTGGTTTGAAAATAGATGAAAGTAGTTCATAGTATCCCTACAGTGTGAAACAGGCTCTTCGCCCCAACAAGTCCACACTGATCCTCAGAGCATCCCACCCCCCCATAAGCCACCTAATCTACACACCCCTGAACACTATGGGCAATTTAGCATGGCCAATCCACCTAGCCTGCACATCTTTTTGGGAGGAAACCCCACAGACATGAGAATGTGCAAACTCCAGACAGTCGCCCAAAGGTGGAATCGAACCCGGGTTCCTGGCGCAGTGAGACAGCATTTGAACTCTTAGAGAGACGTGATAGCAGTTTTCAATATCATGAGCGGACTGGACAGAGTAGGTAGGGAGAAGCTGTTCCGAGTTATTAAAGGAACAAGAACAACAGGTATAGATTTAAAGTGATGTACAAATGAAGTAAGGGTGGTGCTGTTGAGAAAAAAAAAGTGTTTTCCACACAGCAAGTAATTAAGCCATGGAATGGACTGCCAGGAAATGTAGTGGAGGCAGGTTCAAATGAAATATTCAAGAGGGCTTTGGATTACTATTTGGATAAAAATGATACACAAGGGTATAGGGATAAAGCAGGACACTGCCCAGAGCCAATGATGCTTGTTTGAAGAACTGGTATCGGTACAGCGAGCCAAATGGCCTCCTTCTGCACTGTAACAATGTTGTGATAACACAAAGTGGAGAAACTCAGGAGGTCTGGCAGCTTTTGTGAAGACAGACAGTTATTGTAAAATCCAATAGGATTCCTCTTCAATACGTGTTCCAAACTTAAACCATTAACTGTTTCTCTCACCACAGATGCTGCCAGACCTGCTGCATTTTGCTGGCAATTTGTTTTTATTTCAGATCTCCAACATCTGCAGTACTTTGTTTTATCTGTATGAAACCATGTTGTTGCTGTTAATTAAAAATGCCTTACATGAAACGCCAGCAAGAAATCTGTAGTGTCATACACTGAACAACGGTTACCATAGAAACACTATCCCTGGACTCCAACTGAACAGCTTTTTTCAGACTCAGAACTGAAATCATCACTGGCAAAGGGGGTGCTTAGCACAGTGTGAATTTGGTCCTCAGTTCCCACTGCTAACTGAAGTTCTAGATGGGAGGAAATCTTTATGTGCTCACTCCTTGCTATTATAAGACAACAGCATGCCATATTGGAGAAAATAGCAGTACTTAGAGGATACATAACAGCATTATTTAGGAAGGGAGAATGAAAATAGCGATGTAGTAATAATGACAAAAATTTAACATTTCACTAACTCGTGGATAGCATTTCCAACACTCTCACTATTGGGTTAACCTGTTAAGCTGCAGAGAATGTTAGCTACAAGAAAAATTCTAACTGAACATAATTCAGATTGAACGTCACAGAATTAGAGCAATTAACAAAAGAACTAGATGGCAAATGAGAATTGTGTTGAAACAAAATATGCAACCAAGTCATTATCTGGAACGAAATGCCCAAAAAATTACGGAACCAGATTCAATAGTACATTGCTTCCAGTATTTATCCACATCTTTTTGCAAAGTTCAAGAGCTGGGGTTTCAAAGAGAGTGTGGGACCTCCTGAATAGCTCCTTCGAAGACCTGGTACCAATTACTTGCTTTCTTTATGCTGCATCACCACATGATTCTACAAGTGTAATCCTTACTCAATTAAAGATAATAATCAGTTGTCTTTGGCATATTTTAAGAAATAAAATTTCAATTGCTAATAAGTGCAATGATTGAAGGAAGTTAGGTTGAGCTTGGCTAACTGCACACCAAATAATAAACAATGACTCTGAGCTTGATTATCACTAGGCTTGAGTTTAGTACAGTATCTTGCCACATCTTTCAGAAACATCTCAGCGTTTCATATTTAAAAAAGACAAATTACTTTGATGTTAAATATCACATGGAGGTAAATACAAGTCTGCATGAGGACCTGACAAACAGTACTTAGATGAACGGGATAACTTTTATGAGAAAACTTGACTACAACATTAAAAAATGCGTTCGTCCTGAAATACACCATGAGACTTTTTGGGCCTATCTGGACAACCAGAAAGAACATCTTAATGCAAGTAGGGTACATATATGGTCATGTAACAGAGAATGCTCAAGTTTCTTTTTAAAATAAAACACTTAACAAGCAACGCCACAAGACAGAAGTTGCACCAATATTTTAAACAAACACATTGGAAACTTTCTTTTCCTTATGTTTTCATGGGACAAGGGCATTGCTGGCAAGACCAGCATCCATTACTGCCCTTAACTGAGTGGCTGGCTCAGCCACAGGGCACTCAAGTCAACTTCACTGCTATTGGTCTGGAGATTCTGGGCAAATATAGCACCCTAAGGACTCCCAAAGGACATTAATGAACTGATTGGGTTTTCATGACAATCAACTATAATGGTGTTGCATGAAACATACTAGCTTGAAACCCAGACTTATTCATGGAATTTAAATTCCACCAGCTACTGTGATTGGGTCAGAGCCCATGTCCCCAGGGCTTTTGTCTGGGTCCCTGCTTTACTACCCAAGTGACATTTAAACTCATTTAAAAATTTAAATGAAGTAAAGTAGTGAAATGTAAAGCAATCTTGAAATCTGTTGCTGTGCTGATGAATATTATACTTACTGCCTTTTTACCCGGAATAGCACATTCCCAGTTCATTAAGTTTAAAGTACCATCTGGATTCTTTGTTGGTACTGCAACAAAGCCCTGTCAACAAAACAGAAAACAAGAGTTGAACAGACAGACTTATACTTTACCTTAATCCAAGTGAGCATATAGACAACTGTATGACTTTGACAGGATACAAGTCAAAAGGTGAGGGTGCAAAGTGTGGGGAGCTGGAGGAACACAGCAGGCCAGGCAGCCTTAGAGGAGCAGGAAAGTTGACGTTTTGGGTTGGAACCCTTCAAATGTCAACTTTTCTGCTCCTCTGATGTTGCCTAGCCTGTGTTCCTCCAGCTCCACACTTGTCTCTGTCTCCAGCATCTGCAGTTCTTGCTATCTCAGGGTGCAAAGTGTATTAGATTTCATATTCCTACTCCTTGAAAGGCACACAGACCAAGTTTCTGAGTGGGGTAGAACACACTGCACCCAGTCAGGCAGGCGCTTTCGTTTTTAATTACATCTCTTTCCTACTGCCGAGGTACAAACGCCAGCGCCAATAACGAACACTTGTCAACAAGTGGTCTACAGGGACAAATAGCTTTTCTTCACTTCTTTGCCTACGATGAATTATGATATTCTACTAGTCAGAGTGGCATAGTGGGATGCTCTATGGTGGATCAGCGGAACTCAATAGGCCAAATGGCCTCTTTCTGCACTGAAGGGATTCTATGATTCTAGTTTAGGATGCATATGAAAATAAAGTGAGTAAACTTTGATTTATGACAATTTGTGGATGGGTGCTAACTACTGGTCGTCTTTGTAGGAAGGCCAAATTTGTAAACTCAAATTCTAACCTGGCTAATTCAGATTAATTGATCAGAGGCAGACCAAGATTTGCTTCAAAAGTTCTGTAAGGAGACAAACACTGGCATATTCAACCTATTCTTTTAAATATTCCATCAGGTTCCTCGAATGTGATTCTAGATCCAAGTTTTACATTGCGTAGTCAAATTATTCAATTCCCCCTTCACTGGTCCCTTGTCCTCCATTAACTCCAGCTCATCTAAATATCTGCTACATATACCCCAGTCCACGCTAAGGCCTGTACAGCTATCACTTCTGTGTTGGCTGATGTATATTGGCACCCAGTCCAACAACACTTTAAATTTAAAAAGTTTTTGGTTTAAATCCCTTCATGGCATCACTATACTCCATACTTATTGCCACGTTCATCCTCAGAACCAAAAGGAAGCTTATCCCCAAGTTGTTCTGTTTTAGCTGAAAATAGCAGCAGGGAAATGTTACTTTGATCTTGTACTGGTAGCATAGCAGCTTTCCTGAAGAAAATTAACCATAGCAAAGAAAGTCATACCAATTAAAAGAAAATCAATGGAGCAAGAAAGGAAGCAGTCAGATTACCTACCCTCTACACTTGCCAAAAATTTACATTTGTCAGACACCAAAACTTTAGATTACTGATTCAACTGTGCTGCAAATTATAAACAGATAAGCCTTTATGAAGCAATGGATTGTGTATACCCTACAGTTGTTGCTTTCAGAAGGGAAGTGGATAAATATTGAAGAGAAAATCCTGCAGGGACATGGAAGGAGCAAGATTTACTTGATTGTTTTTTTTTGAAAGAAACGGTACAGACTTCATTGGCCGAATTGTCATAGCTTCCTTCGGTCCTAAACTATTGTCAGGTTTTCACTTCACACTACACCCTATGCTATGCAGTCAACATTAACAGTTCAAGTAAAACACCTGCTTGCACAAAATCAGAAGTCAAGTTTGACAGCAAGACTCAATTCTTCTACAGGATCCCAATAGATCAAACTGGATCCCTAATCCAAACATTCCAGGAGTGACCAACATTCCCAAGAAAAAAATACTTACAAAAGGATGATCCTTTCTCCAGGCTTTTCTTTCTTGCGCAAGCCGACTCAATGCAATTCCGGACATAGTTGAAGTAAAACTGTCTCCTGTAGAATTAGTAAATAAAATAGTGCAAAAGAGGTTCACCAAAAGGTTGCCTGAATTGGAGTTTGTTAGCTACAAGAGGAGGCTGACAAACTTGGAATGTCTTTGCAAGAGAACATTGGAGGCTGAGGGGTGACTTGATAAAAACATAAAAAATTATGAGAACCACGGATAGGGGTGGATAGTCAGTCTTCCCAACCCACCCCAGGGTAGAAATGTCAAATACTAAGGGGCATAAGTTTATGGGAAGAAGGAGAAATTTTAAAGGAGATGTGCTTTGTGCCTGGAACATGATACCAGGGGAGGGAGCAGAAGCAGATTTGATAGCAAAGTTTAAGAGGCATTTAGAGAGACATGACAAGCAGGAAATAGAGGGATACAGACCATATGCAGGCAGATGGGATTATTTTAGAATGGCACTATGATCAACAGACATGGTAGGCCAAAAGACCTGTTTGCGTTCTGTGCTGTTCTATGTTTTGTGTTTTCATGATTGAAAACAATGGCATGGGACTCAGGATAAAAGGACTGATTACCTGGGATCGAGAAATTTCTTCACAGAATTGCAAAAATGATAATCTTTGGATTTGGAAATTCCCTCCCTAACATATGGGGATGCTCCTGATCCTATTTCTTATAAACTTGCATATTTTATTGTTCAAAGTACAGTCCATATAAGACGTAGCTAAATTTAAAGTACAGTCCTGAAGGTGTTTCAGAAAACCAAAAACAATTAGGCATCGTTTTCTCAAACTTGCATCATATCTTTGTTCAGAAAGACAGTAGTTATAGGTCGGTACCGGTAAATGGTTGGGCCAACTAAGCATCAAGTTAAAAAGCACAGAAGTGTATCAAAATGTTACATTGCATGACTAAAAGTCACATTTTACATTACATAAACAAAGTAACTTGCACTATTTCCTTGACTGAAAAAAATCCTAGCATAAGACACAAGTCATGAAAAGGCGATAGTATTCCTTCAGCCTATCTTTTACTATTTCAAGTGAACGATTAGAGGAGGAGAACTCCACAGCTAGATCTGATACTTGGAGGGAGCACCAGTTCTGAAAACTCCTGCTAACTGCAGCAGAAATATATCCAGTGGCCTAGTGTCACAACAGCACAGTCAATATCAACTCATGCATTCTCAGAAAGGCATGACATCTTGGAAGAAAATAATAAAACAAACCAAGCTTTAAAATCACGATCCATAACTGGACAGGCAAATCAACTGTTTGTCCCATGGAATTTATTTCTTCCCACTTCAACTTGATATTTTTTCTCCCCTTGTTTTGTCCCACCGCATTTACATCCATGATTTTTCTGATACTTTACACTGGTTTCAAAATTTCCAGTTCACAGGCATCAACCGTCTTCTCTTCATCATAGATATGCAATCCCTTTGCATACCCATCCCCCACCACAATGGCCTTCGAACTCTTCGCTTTTTTCTGGGAAGGTGGCCTTAACTGTCCCCATCTACTGCCAGGGAACTATAGACTGGTGAGCCTGACATCGGTGGTGGACAAGATGTTGGACAGAATCCTGAGGGATAGGATTTACATGTATTTTGAAAGGCAAGGACTGACGAGGGAGAGTCAACATGGCTGAGTCTGGGAACTTGATTGAAATTTTTGTAGTAGTAACAAAGAGGAATGATGAGGGCAGAGCAGTGGTTGTGATCTATACGGACTTTAGCAAGACATTTGACAATGTACCACAAGGTAGACAGGTTAACAAGGTTAAATCACACAGAATATAGTGAAAACTAGCTATTCGAATACAGAACTAGCTCAAAGTTGGAAGACAGAGGGTGGTGGTGGGAAGGTTGCTTTTCAGACTGCAGGCCTGTGACCAGTGCCACATCAATTGGTGCCGGGTCCACTGCCTTTCGTCATTTATATAAATGACTTGGATGGAAACATAGGAGGTATGGTTACTAAGTTTGTGGATGACACCAAAATTGGAGATGTAGTGGACAGCAAAGGTTACCTCAGAGTACAACAGGATCTTGATCAGGTGGACCAACGGGCTGACAAGTGGCAGATGAGGTTTAATTTACATAAACAAAGTGCTGCATTTTGGAAAGGCAAATCAGGGCAGGACTTGTATAGCAAATGGTAAGGTCCTGGGGAGTGTTGCTGAACAGAGACCTTGGAGTGCAGATTCATAGTTCCTTGAAAGTGGAGTCGTAGATAGGATAGCGAAGGCGGTGTTTGGAATTCTTGTCTTCACTGGTCAGTGCATTGAGTTGGGAGGTCATGTTACAGCTGTACAGGATATTGGTTAGGCCACTTTTGGAATATTGTGTTCAATTCTGGTCACGCTGCTATAGGAAGGATGTTGCGAATCTTGAAAAAGGTTTCAGAAAAGAACTACAAGGATGTTGCCAGGGTTGGAGTGTTTGAGCTACTGGGAAAGGTCGAATAGGTTGGGGCTATTTTCCCTGGAGGTCAGTGGCTGAGGGGTGACTTTATAGAGATTTATAAAATCATGAGGGGTATGGATAGGGTAAATGGACAAGGTCTTTTCTCGTAGGTGAAGGAGTCCAAAACTAAAGGCATAGGTCTACGCTGAGGGGGGAAAAGATTTCAACAGGACCTTCGGGGCAACTTTTTTCCATACAGCATGGTGCATGTATTGACTGAGCTGCCAGAAGTGGAGGAAGCTGGTACAATTTCAACATTTAAAAAGCAATTGGATAGGTAGATGAATAGGAAGAGTTTGAAGGGATATGGGCAAAACACTGGCAAATGGGACTAGATTTAGTTAGGATATCTGGTCAGCAAGGCCTGTTTCCATGCTGCACAGCTCTATGACTAATAGTGCAGGAAAGTAGCACCGACGATCATTACAGGTGGTGGTATGTACTGGTAATGTCATTAGACCAAATCAAAAATCCCAGGCTAGTGCTTTTGGGACTGGGTTTAAATCCCCCTAGGGTAGATGGTGAAATTTGAATTCAACAAAAAAAAAACTGAAAAAAGGCTAGTCTATTAGGGATTACATCACTGTTGATGTTCATCAAAATTCATTCAATTCATAAGTGTTCATTAGAGAAGGAAATCTGTCATCCTTACATAGTCTGTCTGACATGTGACCATAGACCCACAGCAACGTGACTGACTCTTAACTGGCCTCTAGGCACTTAGGGATAGGCAATAAATGCTGGCAAAACCCACACCCCATCTGAATATGAAGAAAAAAAAAATCAACCATGTTTTAAATGTTCTACTCCTGTCCTTAGTATGCCACAGGCAACAAGCAATTCATGCCTATAATGAGGACTGCTTTAATATAAATGCCCAATCAATGCAAGTTCCCTAAAATAGTGAGGTTCAACAGTACAATTCACAACAGAAAAAAAAAATCACACTTCACTAAACAGAGTTCACAATACAATCTGCTCAAACTGTCAATGCATAGTAGTATAATTGACAACAACTGTGAGAAGCCGTTCTATATTTTTAACTGATGTTTGGATAAATGGTGGCATCTTGGAAATTAAAATATTCCCAGTCTACTTTCTGAAATTGAAGACAAACGCCCCTTACTCCCTGGAGTTGGCATTAGTAGCAACTGAAAACAGTGCTCAAGAAATGTTGTTTTATGATTATGCCATTTTATTTGGAATTAGGATTAATGACCTTTAAAGAAGTAATTATCTTAAGTGCAACAGTTCAAATGCAGAGGATTAACTATATGATAATTTGTCTCTGCTGTCCTCCCAATACTTTATACGTACTGTATAAACTTCTCTATTAATGATGAATGAACTTACTATGGCAGGGTTGATAGGGTTGAGCAGCTAGCAATGCTGCCTATACCACGATCACAGACAGCATCTCAAAGATTGTATTTTAGAGTAACAATATTAAACTTCAGTAAACCATCTAATCCTCTAATCTCCACATTGCAAGTCTGTAAAAGTGTTAAATCTGGAGGGTGCTCGATGTCTTTATTCTCTTCCACCTTAAGGTGAACATTCTTCCTCAAAACTAAACTAAATTTACCAACTTTTCCACTACCCCAACTTCCGGCTTTTCAGTGAGGCATTGTTGAAACCTTTAAACTTAATCACCTAGAGTCTCAGCTTCCCTGGTGTCCTCTTTCTGACTGCTTCCCTAATTGCCTCCTCTGGAAACTGTTGAGGATCAGAGCTCCTGTCTCTTCCAGCAGACTCCCATCTTCCTACCCTGTAGTATCTCCCTCATCCCTTAACCCCAGAAAAACAGTTCTATAATTTCCATAACCCCACAAAAACTGCTGGAATAACACAGCAAGTCCAACAGCAGTGGAGAAAGCACAGAATTTCAATTGCCAACCATTTTGAAGAAAGATCATCAACCTGAAATACCAAATCCACCCCTTATTAGATGCTGCCAGATTTGAGTATTTTTACAGTTTTTCATTAACTACAGATTTCAAGCAACTGAAGTACGTTCTTTACACTGAAAACTTAGAATTACAGGTTTCTCATACCCTGTCCCATTTAATTTCCTCCAGCCACATGAATTTCACATGAATACTTGTCTGGAAAATTTCACTTACCACATTTCCCAACCCATTGCTAGTTGATGTTTTTGTTTGCTGTGTTTGACCACTCAACATCTTGCTTGCCCACTTTCATCCTATTAGACAAATTGCGTGACAGCATCCAATTTTTAAATCTGTTTCTGCAGCAGCTTAGTGACTTGATGGGTGATTGGCAAGCAGCAGTCACCATTCATGTTTAAAATCTGAACAGCCCATGCACACAACGATCAATAATCACACAATATTAGCAACTCTAGAGAAACTGGTTAGATAGCAGTACATTTTTAAACAAAAAGATAGAATTCAACATACAAATAATAAAACACCTCTCAGCATTGCAATTTGGCCAAGTTTTGTTAAGTTCATTGTAGTGCCCAAAGGCGAAGGTTTTAATCTGCAGGGACATCTTAGTTTTTTTTTGCGTAAAGCCCCACTAGGAAATATTAAAATTAATATAGAAATTTGTCTATCCTTGAAGTATATCTCCAGAAACCACAAAAGCTATAAACTTATCTGTAGTTTGAGAAAGGAGCTAGTCTGTGATTTAGTAGACAATAATACTATGACTGTCCAGAGCTGCAAGGCATTTCACCCCACAGACAAACTCTACAATTCTACCTAAGAATCATTAGACTCCCATTGCAGCAGAAACTGAAAATACCAGCTACAGAGTGAAGCGAGAGAGCAAGCCCTATTATGACTTCCCAGATTCTCCCTTACCCCACTGCCACAGTAAAGCATGAGGAATGAGTCAGGTTGTAACACACTTTAGCATCAAGAGGTTTCCTACACTTTGGTTACTCAGTTACCAAATTAAAATTATAATATTCACCAACACAAAGCAGCTGTATAACTAGCAACATTTGTACAGATATTCCACTATTTTTCTTGAAGGATCTCAAAACAGGCTCATCTTCCTTTGAATACTTAATATTGGAAATTAAGATAATGTAGATTGAATTGTTGGGTAGCATCAGGGGTATTCAAATGTAAGGAAACAGAGGTAACAAGCCATAATGTAATTAACAGAAGCTGAATGGCTTACTTTTCTGTCATTCATTAACTGGGTGAGGGTGTCACTGGCTAGGCAGCATTTATTGCCTAACCCTAATTACCCAGAGAGCAGTTCAGAGCCAACCACATTGTTGTGGGTCTGGAGTCACATGTAGGCCAGACCAGGTAAGGATGGCAATTTCCTTCCCTAAAGGACATTAATGAACCAGATGGGTTAGACTTGGTCATTTTAACTTAGTCATAAAGCCAGTAGGTCTCAGATGCAGACTGAGGAGAGTACAGGATCTCTTATGGTATAAGTGTACCAGTGGGCTTTGGCAGTTTGCCTTTAAAACAGGTTATTGCAAGTACAGATGGAAGCAAAACTACAATTTGCATAAATGTGCCAAGTCAATCAGCATCTGTAAAAGTAGGATAATATTTTGGATAGAGCTACTTGATCAACTTTAAATGGTTGAAGTATTCACAAATTGAAACAAAGAAAAAGATCTGTACCTTTCAGTTCGATGTGGGTGTTTTCAATATTTTCTTGTCACCACACGGTCTCAATCCTGTGCATAGAAATTAAAAGAAAGACGAAGAACAGGAATATGAAGGCCCGACTTTGATTCTGTCATCTTAAATGCAACTTCTGTTACAGGTCAATGTATAGAGTACATGCCCAAACTGCAGCCCTGGCTTTGACAGTGTTACCATTGATGCCCAGGCAATGCTACATTCAAAAAAAGTGAGAAATGTGGTTTGAAGAAATGTTCTTACACAGAGGGCTACAGGAGCACCTATTAGGAACTGGTTTAAAGGTAGAGATCATTGAAACTCTTATCTATAGGTTAAACTACAAAGGAGTCCTTTGCTTGAAAACTAATAATTGCCAAATCAATAAAATGCAACTGGTTACCCACGTAGCACTAAATTCATGCAACATTCTTAGTCAACATGCCTTCCTTTCATATGACACCTACTATTCAAGATTACTGCACACTTTTTCAGCTCTCCTGTCAGCAGGAAGCTAACAAGCTTTAAACAAGGTTCAGATATGCAAGAATTATTTTCAAGCATCTCAGTGAAAAGCAAAAGCATCAGGATACTGGTAAATCTGACAAATTCAAAAACCAAAAATATATTATCCCATTAGTTTTTGGCTTAAACATCAACTAAAAACAATTTGAGTCATTTTACCTTTATTTCCAAGTAACCTTAGTACATATTTTAAAACACAACCATTAACTATTACCGTGCTAATAATTTGATGGGTTAATGTCCCAGAATAGAAGGTCTGCAGTTCAAGTTCTTGTCTGCAGGTTAGTGACCTGAGCTAAACAAACCACAATTTCAATGCTCCCAAGTCAAACAGAGGAAGGAAGGGAAAGAAGAGCAAGCAAATATTTTACTTCCTGGCTGTTGTTTAGTGATCTCTTCTGGAAAACGTACGAGATGTTAAAGAATAGTTGGCTTGAATCCAGCTGTGCAAACAGCCCATCTTACCAATGAACTATTATTCCATGAGCCAGCATTTTCATGAAGGGAAAAAAACATTTAAAATCAAAAAAAAAAATGTACTGAACACCTACAGCACCGTTTTTATTGCACCTCATATTAGAATTCTAAGTAAAACATCATGGGACTCTGCTTTCAATTTTTATATGAAAATTGGAGGCTGCATGCCCTTTGTAAAATAAAGCTACTCAGCAGATCAAACAGCAGACATGTTTATTTGCATACATGAAAAGCACTGTTTCTTCTCATCATTCCTCAGTTACAAAATTGCCTCAATAACCCACCTAAGAGTAACCAGGAATGAATTCAGTTCAACAGTTTAGTCTAAGTTGTGCGATTTTTTTGTGAATTTGTCTATTCTGAAATTGAAATTGAAGTAGAACATTTAAGCCAATTTATTTCTCCCAGATTTCAGTCCAGTGCAGCTGAGGAAAGTGCTTCACTGTCAGAGGTGCCACTCTCCAGATGAGACTTCAACTAAGATTCCCTCAAGTGGGCATAAAAGACTCACCGGCAGAGAGCAGTCAGGGAATTCCCTCACAGCAAGCATTTTAATCAATATGTATGCCTCTGAATTGACAAATCGTTTAATTGGTAATTTGTCTGAATTTGGTTTTCCAAGCCCCTAAATTGGATGCAACCTGTCAGAGAAAAGAACGAACATTCAGCTCAAAGCTGTTTTTTCATCCACTTACTTCATGGCTGATCAGTAACCCATTTACTAATGTTTAATGCCCTTTCAACCATTTTCAAATGATTTTAATTTACAATTTACATTTGTAACATTACCAATATTTAATGCTGATAGATTACAGCATGTTATTTAGTAAGTTAAAATGGTGATGACCATCAATATAATAAAGTGATTTAATAATAAACTGAGTAGAATCCAGATCAGAGCTGTGTAGTAATCACAGAAGGTTACTACGAAGGGGAAGAATATCTGTAGGCTATTTATGACTTCAAGTTTGTGCGTGAGATCACGACCAACCTATAAAATTAACTGCATAATCCACCTCTGCCCCGCACTCTTAGCTTTGGATTACAACACAGATTGGCCAAATTTTAAATTACCAATTGATGCAGAATGGATTGGCATTTGAGGAAGAAAATTCAAACTCCTACCATAATTTGGGCATAAATCTTTCCCAATTTCCCTCCTAAAAGGGCCTGCTAATTTTCAATATGCTTGTTCTAGATAAGGCATTAACAGACGTCAGATTATTTCTACCTTACTCAAATCTGACACAATGTCACTGAAGGATATCTGTGGGTGTGTGAAGTGTTTACACTGTGTTCACTAAAACAGAAGGTAACTTCAGTATTGTTTATAGTATTTGTCTGGAGAAAGCACTTTGTACAAAACCAAAAAAAAAACACTGCCGGCTACATAAGAGGAATTAAACAGAATTACAAGTATAACAGCACAAAAGTGCATTAGCTCACATCTTCGCCAAAAAGCGCTAAATAAGCCTGGTTTCAATTCAAAGTGTGTTATCAGAACAAGGGAAACATTTTAAATCTTGTAATTACAGCCGGGAATTGATGCAAAATTGTAACTGCATCCTAACGTAACTAAAATTTCTGAAATTCTGACTCCCAGCCTCAATATTATTGCAAACAATTCTTCTGACAGTCTAGAAATTGACATACAATTACAAAATGCAGTTAAAGAGTGCTCTTACCAGAAAGATACTGTAAGTGTAATTAATCAAAAATGAACACCACATAGGTCAAAAACACTAGATCAAAGAGAAAGCTGAAAAAAGGGCTTCAGGAGAGGACAGACTGGTGAAGGCACTTCAGACAATGGTGGCACAGCAGAAGGAGCATAATCGTGCGAATATCAAGTGACTTTCATGCCAACAAGTACTAAAATTCAAGTTAAAACATTAACAGAAAATTCCGAAGAACTCCAGAACAAAAGACAGTTACATAACTCCCATAAAATCAAAATTTCAGACACTAAAGTGCATTTTGTCTTTTTCATCTTTCATAGACCAAAAAGACACCTTTCAAAAAGTTCTCCATAATACAGAAAACAAGACCATTTCTCTCCATTCCCAACTTTGGGATGGTGCGGGGATGAGGAAACATAACTGCAAGTTGCCCATGTTATCTTAAAAAAAGTTACACAGCTGTATTATCAATACAGGTCACTTATTAGTACAGGCGGGGAGAAGGATTAAAGATAGAACATTTTGCAATATACATTTTATAAACAAAACCCAATTAAGAGTCAGGATTCTTGTAGCTCCCACTTTATGATGCAGGCCCCCCACCACTTCAAATTAAGAGGACGTGCAGACGCAACGTTAGAAGATAGGAAAGAGGTACCAATACATAGCAGTTAGCAGCCATTCTGTAATCAACATTCTCAGATACGTCATAACACACACACTTCGAAGCAGTTGGGACCTGAAAACCCAGGCCTTTGGTGCAGAAGCTGGGACAGTACCAGTGCTATGACAGCCCAGAAAAGCAGCATTAGGTACTTGATTTCAGTGTGGGAGACTGGGCCTAATCTGGCCTCATTCAAGATCCACATCCACTTTCAGCAGGGCATCAGAAAATAAAGCATTTTCCACTCCCTAACTGGATGACAATGGCACCCCCAACTGAACGCAGCTAGCCAAGAACCTCCTGGTGCATACTTTAAAGTGAAAACGTTGACGTACATATTTGTCAACTTACATTTTTCCTCCTTTCAGCATTATAAAGTCTTTGATTTCGCATTTTACCATTCAACAATTACTTTGCGCTTCCTTAAAAATATCTGCAAGTGTCAATTTTGAAAACTGTTGAACTCTAAAGCTTTTGACAGGTGGAACAACCTGGCATCTTAAGGATGCTTTCAAGCTCAAGTTTCTGCACTCAAGTCCAGAGATAAAACAAGATCTGGTCAGACAGGGTCAGAAATAATCTCAGCTACAGAACTTTAGTGTACAAGAATGCTTTCTGCAATGGTGACACTCTTCTGGGGCAATTGTTAACTTTAATCCCTGAAAATCTAGGCCTCATGGAATTGCACAATTATTGGTTTTGTTTTGTATCAGCTTTAAGCATTATTTTCGGCAATGGTGCTCATAATTGAAGTCCACACTTTTGGCATCAGTTGATCTGACTGGAACCTTGGAACTCGACAGAAGAAAGGGAAAAGAATCATCGTGATAACAGTCTTGCAGCATATGCACTTAACTGAAGACAGATGTGCTGGTACTTACAGTTGGATAGCCTGACACTAGTCTCACACAAAAGTGCAGCACTTGGACATTTTTAAAAGTGCTTGCACATGTTAACATTCAATTCAAAAGGGTGAAATTATCTACAGGATCTTGCGATGTCATGATAGTGTCTGTACCCCTGGAACCTGGGCTTCCTGTTCCTGTCCCACCTGCTTCAGAAGACAATATATCTCTGAACAGGTTGATCAGAAAAATAGGTTGAAATCAAAGATTCTTAAGCCTATGGGTATATTCTGGATCACAGCAACAAGAGAACACCACCTCTCTCACAATTATAAGCCAGACTCCATTGAGGATACCACATATAGGTCAATGTAAGAAACATTACAAACAAGCCTGCCTGATCATTTCACAGCAACTCAGTCCAGTCATTAGTTTGAAATCACATGCTCCTTCCTAAAGGGGGGATATATGAATGCATTTAATAATGCTGAAGGATGTCTCTCACCCAAATGGCCAACTTTAAAAAGGAGCATCTCACTTTTGCTGAGCATGAGTTATACAGACCAGAAAGCAGTGAGCTCCAGTTGTCTGCTTGGAATTAAAAAAAGCTAATGGAAAAGGAATTGGGGCACCACTGGGCAAAGCACTCCAGGTGTTACAAATATAGCTGTGCCTCTAGCAAAGCTGCTTCAGTACAATTTCAGACAAAAGAGAAAAAAGTGGAAAACTGTTCAGATAAACCCAAAACTCAAATCAGCATCAGCCAATAAGTCAGCAAAACAAGAGGTAGGAGAAAGTGTTAAATTGTACATCCTCAATAATCTGCTAAACGTTTGCATTCTGCCAAGACCACTTGGCTCCAAATCTAATTGGAGTCTTTGTCCAAGCACAGCTAAAACAGCTAAATTCCAGAAGGGAAGCAACAGTGACTACATCAAAGCAGCTTGATTAAATATGACCTCAAGAAACTGGAGTGAGAGAGTCCACTAGAGTCCGGGGAAAGTCTCTTCACCTCATACAAAGGGAGATCACCGAGTGGTGGAAGTTGACCTTCTCAGTGCAAAACACCACTGGAGGAAGGTTGTCAGGTCAATGTCCTAGGTCCAACTATCTTCAACTGCTTCAATTGCCTCTCCATCATAAAGGTCAGATCAGGGGATGTTCATTGATGACTGCATACTGTTCAGTTCCATTCACAACTCCGCAGATGAAGTCCACTTGCAGTGTGACTGTAGCCAATACTCAGCCTTAGATATCTGTCTTGGCACTCGCTAATCTGTGTTACACATGTGCCTGGTGACAACCTTCTCCAAAAATGCAATGTACTCCCCCTTCCCAGCTCACTCCCAATATTCAACACTATTAGCATCATAAATATTGCTGAAAAGGAATACACATTTTGTCAAAGCTTTTCATCTTACACATCAGGACAGATTGCAAGAAACACCAAGGTAAAGGTTTTCCTGTTGGTCAGCATAGATGTGGTAGGCCAAAGGACCTCTTTCTACCCTATGGCTATGGTATTCTTGCACAGAGTCCTGCTGATTGCAAGACAAAAAGCTTTAACATGTTTTGCACCAGTACTCAAGTTCTGTACTCCCAAACTCTTCGCACTTGCATTACAGTCAACATCTTGGAATCCTCATTGACAATAGACCAAATTGGACCAGCCATACAAATACAATGGCTGCAAAAGCAGGTCAGAAGCTTGGAATTCAGAACCTGGCCACTGTCTAAAAAGCACGTGCCAGGAGGGTGATGTAATTGGCCCCACTTGTTTGAATGATTGCAGCTCCAACACCACAATGTGGACACCATTCCATTGGCATTCCATCCAACTTACCATGACAGCACTGTATCCTACCTACATGACACATTGCAGTTTCCAATGCCCATGCAGAACAACAAACCAACCAATCACAGTATCCAATGGTTTCTTCAAATTCCAAAGCTACAGCCACATTGAAGGACAAAATTAGCACAGGCAGAGAAACACAATCATCTTGAAAATGTATCTTCACCACTGGCCCATAATTCTGGTACTCCCTGTCTAACAAGACTGAAAAAAAATCACAGGATCTCCAACAGTTCACCACAAACTGCAAGATCCATCATGAATGAACAATTGCTGACCTTTGCCAGGGCACCCACATCCATTGCATATATACAAAGTAGCAGTTAGGGTCAGACTGGATGACCTTTCCTCCATTGTCTGAAAGGGTGCGAGAATCACTGTTTTGAAAAAAGGTGGAGTCCACAGGAGCAGGGAGGAAAGTAAGGCAAAGTCTGGCCTTCCAAAATTCACCAAGTTTACCACAATAGCTGACTCCAAGTCCTGAACTTAGCAAAACCTAGATGAGGAAGGGTAAGAAATAATCATTTTTCATCTACAGACTGCTGTCTAAACTCACGCACACATGAACAGGTTCAGTCTTCACCCTGAAAAATCATATTTGCAATCCAAGTAAACTTCCCAAACGGCATCAAAAGAAACTGACGCATAAGATTTCACTTTAAGTCTTTTACTTTAGCATTCAAACTAAGAGTCAACACAAAGGCGAACCAACATGCAAGTCCTATTCTGTAGAAACCATAAACTACATGTTAATAACTGGCACCGCTTACCAAGGCAGCTTTCCTAGCATGTGGCACCAAATGCAGTCAGTCTCAACTTCCAGCAATAGAGTTTGGCTGCCCTCTTTCATGCAGGATCTGACTTTCAAGCATTCTGATAACTAGTCCTCTACCAGAAACTGCCAGATTCAATTACCATCAAAACTGCATACTTCTTTCAATTTAGCCATTATAGCCCTGACATCTTGACTTTCCCACAAGCATCTTCATCTGGCTACCCAGTACAATCAATTCCTACAAACCCTGATCTTCAGCGCAGGCAGGCAGTTTCCATGCTTTATAGATTTCAGTTTTCTCAGCAGGCTCCTATATGGTTTCACTTAGAAACCGAGTCTGTTCTCTTTCTACTGTAAAGGACCAATTTTGAGACCTGTTGGTTCTTACCTCTAGTTGAAAGGAGGTTTAACTACTAAGGAAACTGAAGCTATGTTCTTTCCTCAGACATCTGATAGCACAGCCAGGCAATTTAATACAGGTAAGCTCTTCATAAGGGTCCTCGTGTGGTGCAGTGGTAGTGTCCCTAAACCTGGGCTGAGGGGATCAGACTCAAATCTCAGTGTCAGAAGTGCATAATACCATCTCCAAAGAGGTTGCTATCAAAAATGGGTTCAATTAAAAAAAATGTTCTTGCCTCTTCCCCACACCCAAATAATAAAACTTGGGTCTCTGTTTCTTGCTGAAACAGTCTAAAAGGTTTCACCACAGGAAGTTGACAATATTACAAAAACTGTTAGCATGGATGCATTTAAGGGTAAGATAATTAAGTATATGAGAAAATAAATAAATTGAATTTATTAGGATGCAATGAAGTACACTGAGATAATGTTTACGTGGAACATAAACATAGCTACAGTACTGTTGGGTCAAATGGACTGCTACTACAAAATCTAAACATTCAAAGTCACTAAAAGATTAACTCAAATAAGACGACCAATATCTGCACTAGAACTGTCTCCTTCCTAAATATATACTACACAGATCATTTAAAAAGTTCACTCTGGAAAAATAACCAGTTCTATTCAAACTACAAATGTTTCCTATAACAGTAAGCCAATAAACATTACATTTGCAGAACACTACTTTGCCAGACACCATCTCCCACATGTACACTTTGCACAATACAGGACTCTTTGCTTTTACAGACACAACAAACTGGGCAATTTCAGTAGTATAGTTGAACAACAGACAGCAAGGCATCACAGGGAAATAAAATCGAGACCAATCACCTGTGTGTAAAAACATTAAAGTTTCTTTAACTTCTGAAAAAGTAGTATCAGCAAGACAGATCAATACGAGATTGTCCTTGACTTTCCCGAGAAGCTTAAATGTTGTTCATTGAATAATCATTTTAATTTATCACACAATTCAAATCTTCACCAATATCTACTTTAAATTGATACTTCACTCCAAACATTCCCAAAAAGCCTCAAAATTATGGTCATTCGTCCTCCAGAAAACAACACAGATTAAAACAAACGTTTAGTGGACTTCTATAACAAAAATTAAAAATCTGTCTCCCCTCCATAAAAGTCGCCACTGACTTTTAAAATAAAATCAGTTTCTTTTAAAATTTGCCCAGGAGAAACATTTTCCAATTGAAGTTTGATATGGAGCTTAAACAAATTCAACAGTAAACAGGGAAAGATGCACACCCAAGTATAGAAAAAAAAAAGATCAGATTTACAACAGCTGGAATAAGGAGGAAGAGTGAATGTGCCCAGTCTGTGGCTTCTACATAACAGCGTGCAGGAAGGTGTCGTAGAAAAGAGGAAGAGGAAGGGAAAGGGGGAAAAGAAGGGAAAGGCTACTTATTAACATCTTAAGAACCACACCCCGTTATTAGAACGGGGAGAAAAGGGTGCTCTTTAAAAAAAAGTCACGAAGCACTTCTTACCTTCAGCGACAGTGTTAATTTGGGGAGGGGAGGGTTGGGGGATGGGGAGGGGAAAGTGCTTCAGGTGACGGAGCTGAAGCGATAACGATGTGTGTGCCTCTCTCTCCCTCTCCCAGTCCGTCCGTCTCTCCCGCGACTCATTCACATCCACAGAACAACAAGGGAACTGACTGCAATATGGCGGCGCCAGGACCCCGTCCACCCCGTCAGGCCCCCGACCAGGACGACTACATGCCTGCAGAGGGGAGGAGGTTGGGGAGAAATCAAAAAAAGAACCACTTCCGGTCCGTTTCCCCGGTCCGATCGCCTGCCAGTTGTTTTTCTAAAAAAAAATCAGACGCAGAAATAGTTGACAAACGCGGCGTTTTTAATCATCATTCCTCAATTCCAATACATTCTTTTTAATAACGAAGCAAGTTTTGATGAAGGGCATGTATTTAAAAAGCACATAAAACCAGGCGCGTGTTTTGCCACCTAAAAGATCGAGCCCCCAACCGGTTGGAACCGGTTTGATCCGGTCCCGTTTTGAAAAAAAACCGTTACGGAGCGTTTCCTCGGGTATTTTCTTTCGTGTTTTTCTCACGGTGTGTGTTTTTCGTAAGTGCAGGTGAAAATTAATTATTTTTGACCCTCGTTCCCCCTCCCCCCGGTAGAAAAGGCCGTTTTAAGGGGGAAACGCCGAAGAATGTTCGAGAAGCCGCCACATGGCGTCACATGGGGTTGCTGCTGCGATGACGTCATTGGCTAAACTCGCAGAAGTTTCGAGAAGGTGAAGGCTGCGGGGGAGGGACCACTGTGGGGGCAAAGCGATCAAAAGCCTCCTCTTGACCACATCTAGTGACTGTTTGTCTATGGCCTGAGTAAAAGCTCCACCCAAGATGGGTGCAGCATAGAACGAGGCCATTCAGCCCATTGGGGAGCAGTGCTGGCTCTTTAGGACAGCCATCTTGTTATCAGGTTGACCAACTGTTGTTTACTTTTGGATTATGGCCAGCATAGGCTGGTCAGACCAAAGGGCCTGTTCTGTGCTTTGTGATTGTATAAATGTGGTTGACAGAAACTAAAGGGATGTTTAGCTGTGGGAGTTGCTGGTGGAAGCTTGAGTATGGGATGTGGTGGACGTGGTACTGTGGAGGCACTTGGAAGTGGGGCTTATAATGTGAGGGGTGCTGGTGAGATGTTCGCATCTGTGGGGGTGGGGGTGGTCTTGTGGATGAGGTTGTGTTCATGTGATGTGCATATGTGGAGGGTTGGTGGGGGACATCTGCCGCCGTGTGGTCTGCCCCAATTTTGATGATGTGGAGGTGCTGGTGTTGGGGCAATCACATAAAAGTCTGGGAGGGGTATGGAGCTAGTATCAAAATTGGACAAGGTCAGAAATCACACTACACCAGGTTGTAGTAGGAATTTATAAAAGGCAACATTAACTGTCTATAACTTGTGTGCTTTTTGAACAAAATAGAATGTATCTGTATAGAAATAAGACCAGTCTGGCTCCAAACCAAAACATAAACAGATTCTAAACAAGGCCTCATACCTAACATGCATTGTCTGACCTAAAATGTCACTTCTTTACACTGATGAAACCTTTAATTCTGTCAGGACAGTGACTTGAAAGGAATTTGGGAATTTACATATACATAGTAATCAATTAAAACCTTCTAACTGATTAAAGATTTAGCAGCATGTTAAGTTTAATACATCCGCATCGGTGGTGTGACCCTTTGATCTTTTACTTAGAAATTTCTGTGTCTGATACTACCTCTCTCACTGACACCTGAAGAAGGAATGAGACTATGAAAGCTTGTTTTTGAATAAACCTGTTGGACTATAACCTGGTGTTGTGTGATTTCTGACCTTGTCCAATTTTGATACTAGGTCCATGCCCCTCCCAGACTTTTATGTGATTGCCCTGAGCACAAGCTGTAAACTTTCCAACCGTGTCATGTCTTGCACAAAGGAAAGGCCTGCCTGGCATCTGAGACAAAACACCTGTCCAGACCTGAAGTGGGCCTCTGGGCAAAAAGCCAAATTATGTGACCAGTCCAAGAAAATGTGGCACGGTTGATGACCCTGTGTGTTAGTCCCAAGAAAAAGCAAATTACTGATGTGCTATTACTCCTTTCACCACTTCAAAATGTCCTCGGAGGGTAGTACAGCTATTGAGATACTTTTGGAGCATACTTACTGTTGTAAGTAAACATGCCAGCCAGTTTGTATACAGTAAGATCCAACAAACAGCAATGTAATAATAACTGTATAATCTTTTCATTGATCTTAATTTAGACATAAATAACGGTCCTGGACTAATGAAGATAATCCCTATTGTTCTTTGCCATGTTTTACAACTCCATTTATATGGTTAGGCAGACCCCATGTTCAGTGCTTCACCTATGTACTGTCGAAGGTTTTTTCCTGTTTACTTTGTATGACAATTTGGGATCTTAATTTTTTATGAAAGTCAATATTATTCTTTTTTAATTCGTTTTCATTGTTAGTATGGATTTAAAATTCAAATTTGACCATGATGTAACTAAATGGCAGAAGAAAATAAGTGCCCTTTTTGTGTTTAACAGAACCCAGAACTTGCCTCGATGTTGGTAAAAGGTGCTGATCCAGTGTTTGTTATTGTAAAATGGCCAGATTGAGGCATATAGTTTTGGTGTAGGTATGTTGCATGAATAAGTATTTAATCAAAATATTTTTTACCATATGTTCAGAATAATGTGAAGCAGTGGGGAGATTCCCAGCACCAGGAGTACAGCCCTGTTGTTCTTAAATATAGCATTGAGACCTTGATTTAGCAACTAACCCGATAAGCACCTTCAGTACAGTGGTGCTCCTTCAGTGGTGTTGTGACAATACAGTTAAGATAATGGTGAACATGGTCTATTGATATTCAACTTCCACCATCTGATTTTAATACTTGGGACCTTTATTGAAATAAATTTAACTTTTCTAAGAGCACAGATACAGAGCTAACAAGGCTGGTGTGATCACCTGACCATATTGAGCAAAACTCCTGAAACTGTCAATATACAAGGATCTATTTGAGCCAAAATTAACCATGTCATGAAAGACACTGAAACTTTGATCTGTACTCTGTTGATGTACACCTTTCTGGAAGCTATATGTTGGGAGGAAAGTGGCCTGCAGATCATCCAGCTTGGTAAAGTAATTATGCCAGACACCTGACTCCTCAATGAACTGTATTTCAGTCAACATCTTTGGAGTAGCAGATAGAAAAAGAAAAATGAACCGATAGCAAGAAGCTGGAAGTCTTTTTCTTCCCATCTTTCTCAAAGTCAATGTCTGATGAAAAAGCACTTTACAAAAGCAACATTCACCCAGAATGCAAGAAACAACACAACAGCTAAACATTCAGAACTCATCATTCTCAAATTCAAGGATTCTAATAACTTTAAACTGTGCCTGCATTTACCTTCCTCTCTCTTGGACATACACCACTTTTTAAGTTTAAGTGTGGCTATGAGAGTGTGTGTGTGTGTTGTGCATTTTTTGGGACTGGAAGGTAATAAAATTCCTCTTTCAATCAAGAATATGTTGTATCCTCCTTTGACCTAATTAATTTTATTTGAAGTGAAAGCTGTATGCTAAAAGTGAAATAAGTATTTGCTGTGAGAGGGCATTAAAAGGATGGGAAGTGTTTTTATTTCCTGTCCTCACTTGTTAGCAACAAAAATGAGGACAAATTGCACCATTAGAACCCAAGTACAAACAAAAGAATTGGAGTGGATACACAAATTGTTTCATCAAAAGCTTTTTAAATAGAAGAAACTGAGTCTAGGATTAAAAATAGCTAAAATGTCCACATTTGTTATTAGAGCAAGATAGAATAACATATGAAAAATTTAAAAGCTTTGTCCTTAGAATTAAAAGGGGTAGCTAGACATGAAGTTTCATCCAAATTGTAAAACGTGTGGCAAGTATTTAGAGACAGAAACTAATTAGAGCAGCTAAGATTAGAATTAGAATTAGAATTCCAACAGCTGAAGAGTTACATGAAAAAGAGAGGTCGTGAAGGAAAGAGAAGAGAATTCCAAGAAAGAAAGGACGTTCCAATTCAAACAGCTCTAGCTGAGGAGGGAGATAGAAAACTGCTCTGCTGAGGGAGCAAGACTTGCATTTAATGCCTGAATTATTTACATTTATTGATTTAATTCCTAAACTTAATGAGTAAGAGCTGGACACCTCTTTTGAAAGGTTAGCACTGTATTTAAAGTAGCCAATCCACTATTGAACATTGCTATTGTAGAGCAGCTGACAGAAAAAGCTCAAAAAGATCATTCACTCTGTCTTACGTAGAACATGCCACTTACTATGAAGCAGCATAGGAGACTATTTTAGTCCATATCAGTCTTGCCAGAGGCATAGAGACAAACATTTTGTACCCTCAAGAAATACCCTACCTGTCCTACATAACTAGAATATACAGGCCTTAAGGTGCTCATTTGTGCCCAATAAGTATGGATACTTAAAATTCAGGCCATCTAAGAAAACCTCTGTGAGGTACTATGAGTAGGTCAAAAACTCCATATCGTTTCTATTTCAGACTTCTTTCGAGGAACATTGGAGAGCAGGGCCCAGACAGCCAGCATATCTGGCTGACAGCTAGGGGTTAACACACTGTCTTACTAACTCAGGAAAGTGGGTTGTGGAAGCTGCCAAGACCAGAGAGGGATAAATGTAAGCTGGAGAGAAAAGGGAAACCAGACAAAGAAATCAGAATTGACCCTAAACGTTAACAGGGTAGGTTGAGGTGGGAGACATTTGGGAAACGGCACAAGTGTTTCTATATCAGGAAGCCTGGGGATAGAAAATTGCCTAGAAACCCAAGTTGCAGTGTCTAGCATTCAAAGTGATTCATGTCCAGTTATGACCATGAATGAGGAAAGCTGTCAGAAGTTTGTTTAAAAATGAATAGTGACCACTTACTCCTTTAAACAGCCAGAAAGAGAAGACCACATTCTCCGAGACGTTGGGTACGCATGGACCTTGCTAATGGGGAAAATGTTCCACCTGGAAGCAAGTTAAATTCCAGTGTGCTGGTAAGTGTTCACAGGGAGAAGTATAGAGGTTGTTAATGTTTACCTATAGAGTGAATCTGTTACAGGTCTGGTAACAGTGGGGAACGTCCCAAGTTTGTTAAGGCCAACAATAGGTATTTTATTGGAGAATAATTTGATTGATAGTAAAACATACCCCTTAAGCAGAAAAGGACAGCTTTGAGAAGTTGGAGAAAGCCATCGCTGAGCAGCAGAACGCCCGGATTTAAAAGGTTCAGAAGCAGCAAAGCTCAGGAAGGAGTGATTAAAGGTGGGTAACTCTAATTATAGCAGGAAATGCAAAGAGACCAGAACTAAGACAGTTCAGAAATGCTCGGTAAAACCCATAATGTTTGGTTAGCCAGGTTAGGCCATTCAATTTAAGCAGGGCTGAAGTTCATCCAGAAGTGTCATAAAAGATCAAGTCAGATCCTGAAGAAGTTCAACAAGCTGAAGTTGGGCCAATAGCCATAAAAGAAGACAAGAAAAGGCCAGGGCAGTTGACAAGAAATGATAGGCTAGAGTCTGCAATCTGGTTAACGAGCATCTTCACAGTAAGAATCCAAGAGGGCAATGGAGTTCACAAACAGGCCAGGGCAAATTGAATGTGAAGCCTCACTTAGAAGAAGAGCTGCAGGGGAGTAGATTAATAGCTGAATGACTATTTGATGGTTGAAATATTTCAGGAAAAAAGGAACAGGTTAGGAAAAAAGCCATTCCCAAAACAGAGAAAAGGCAAACGAACACACCCACACTCAATACTACTGGTAAAAGCTATCAGGAGCATACCTATTAGAGTCAAATTAAACACAGAATTGCCCACTAGTGGATCCAAAGAACAGAATTGAGTCTTAAAACTCAGTCACATTGATTATTAAATGAGAGTGTGTGAAGGATGTAAATTCAGATACTATAGGTGAGGTAAACCTAAGATTATCACTGACTACTCGCTGAAATTCAAACCTGTCAAAATGCCTGAATCTGTTCCATGGATTACAGAATTGAGCAGTGATAGGTTAAGACTTGGGAATGTGGCCAATCTTGTGAACAACTCCAACAGGGAGTCCCAAATCAGGTTTTGAACCCACAAACAGAGTGAATGCAGAACACATGATGCCATCCCAATTTTTGTATTGTTCTTTCAAATTAGCCTGATACATTGCCTGCAGATTATCCAGCTTGGGGAAGAAACTGATACCAGACACCTGAATTCACAAAGGAACTGTGTCTGAACCAGATAATAGATTTTGTGTAACAAAGCAGAGAGAGAAGAAATGAACTGATAACAATTGTATGCTGGAAGTCTCTTTCCCTGTGTCTCTCTCAACCTTGAAGTCACTGCCCAGTGAAAAAGCAACTTGAAAAATAACCACTTACTGAAAACAAAAGGGATATCTGCGAACTTAGCCATTGATGAAGAATCGACACAACAGCTAAACACTCAGGATTCAAGTCATTCTCACAATCCAGTTGTTTGACAAGCTTTAAACTGCAATTGCCTTTTCCTTCCATCTACACTAAATACTGTCCTTTTAAGCTTATTACTTCAATTTGTGTGTGTGTGCATTTGATGTCATGTTTTTATGATGTTTTAAGGTGAGTAGGTAAAATTCCTATTTCTTTCATGCAAGAAAACCTTGTAATAGCTGAGATAACAAGGTGTAGAGCTGGATGAACACAGCAGGCCAAGCAGCATCAGAGGAGCAGGAAAGCTGATGTTTCGGGTCTAGACCCTTCTTCAGAAATGGGGGAGGGGAAGGGGATTCTGAAATAAATAGGGAGAAAGGGGGTGGCAGATAGAAGATGGATAAAGGAGAAGATAGGTGGAGAGGAGACAGACAGGTCAAAGAGGCAGAGTTGGAACCAGGAAAGGTGAGTTAGGGAGGGGATAGGTCAGTCCAGGGAGGACGGACAGGTCAAGGAGGGGGGGATGAGGCTAGTAGGGAGGAGATGGGGGTGGGTCTTGAGGTGGGAGGAGTGGATAGGTGGACAGGTTAGGGAGGTGGGCACGAGCTGGGCTGGTTTTGGCTTGCGGTTGGGGGAGGGGCTGCCTTCATTTTGATGTACATTATTACCGTTAATTGAAGTGTGATACCTGCATGATAAACAAGAAATTAAAACTATTTGTTGCAATTGACTAAGGGGGGATTTTAAAAAAAGGAAGCAATCCCTCCCCCACAGCTTGTCATGACACGGCTTAGATGTTGTGTTCCAGTCTCCAGAGTGAAACCAAAACATTCTAAGTCTGAGACAAATGTGCTATCCACTGACACATGTAGGCAATTTTGAATTAATTAAGGGAATACATGAACTTTGGTATTTAATCAGCTCTTTGAAAACAATTTTAAAAATCTAATGGATAGTTGGCGTCATTGGAAGATATGTAGGATATTAAAACAAGAACACACTACAGTAGTTATACGAGTGCTAATTAGGCATTATGTGCAGAATCATGCTCATTGTCGTAATGATAGCTCTAATGAAGGACCTTAACTAAGATGACAGACTACGTAAAGCTGGTATGTTGTCTAAACATAAGGCAGTTATGTGTAATCTGTTTGAGGCAATGAGTAAATTTACAACACAGAGAAATAAAATGAGCACTAAGCTGGTTAAAAGTGAATTGAGGAAAATAAATTTCCCTCTACATTTGGGAGAATATAAAACACACTGTCCCAGGATACCATAAGTATTGTAACAATTAATGTATTTCAAGGAGTCAGAGATATTTACTAAAAATACCTCCTTTTTTAGTTTGTCTACGAGATGGTGGCGGCAGGATAGGAAGTGTTCAGGCTCCTAAGCCAATATGCTACCATTCACCTGGCTGGCTGCATTCTTCTTTTTTTTGTTTCTTTGTTTCTCTGCGGTGGAGGAAGGCAGTTGCAAGGTCCTGCTGCAGTGGCACATTTTTCTTGTATGTTATAATTGTAACACTTTCAAAGGAGAAAAAGTCACAAAGCACTTCGTAGAGGCAAAATCAGAAAGCAAATGAATGCCAGGCTAAAAGGTACAGGAGACAGACGCATTACTGGTATTGAGTTGAAGGGAGGGGAGTCAAACACATGAGACAGGACAAAGTGTTCAAAAAATTATTGCATTACAGAACATATACTTAGGGAGGCAAAAAGATTGTGACTGAATTTAAAGTAAAAGGTTAGAATTGTCAATTTGGAAAAATAAAATATCAAGTAAGGTAACTCGCCAAGGTTATATATTGTGAGATGCAAATGTAGTTAGTTTTATTCTGTTTGCCTGTGGTATTTGGCATTGATGTTCAAACAGTTCTCTATGTTCAGTATAAATCATCTGTTCCCAATCAGTGACTAGTGCTATTCTCTAGTTTTATAGCAGAAGGTACTCTGGGTAAGTAGAAATATACTAGGACATCCTTCTTACCAAATATATCTTGGAACTAGCAATTTGTAATGTTCAGAGTGAGCATTTTCATTCTCTTTGAGGTGGCAATTATGAGTGCTGAGAATGAAACATTCTTGCACTTTAGACACTTAGTCTAAACATCAGGAACATCCAGGTCAGCTTTAATGCATGTTAAAACACCCATTATAATGTTTCAAACTCAGAAGAGCACTCATGCAGCATGAGGATTTATATGGTACCCCATTCTGGCCCCTTAATGGTTTTCATAAAAGCACTCTTATAATCTTGCTTTTGGAATCAATAATGTTGACAAGTGGATTGAGATTGTTCCAGGATATATCACAGAAAGCAGAATTGTCATTCCTGCAGAGCACACTGAAACCCGAATCTTTAATTCCGAAGGTGAAAGGATTTGGCTAAATCGAGAGAACGGGAGTTAATTTAATATGCAAAACCTTACAGCATTCAGAAAGAACAGGAAAAATGATGCAGCCATATATACCAGAGACAGCTAACAGGTAAATGAATTTAATCATTTAATGAATTTAAACAGGTAAATCAGAGGGAAAGAGATAGTAGGAACTGCAGATGCTGGAGAATCTGAGATAACAAGGTGTAGAGCTGGATGAACACAGCAGGCCAAGCAGCATCAGGGGAGCAGGAAAGCTGAAGTTTCGGGCCGAGACCCTTCTTCAGAAAATAGACCCTTTTCTGAAGAATGGTCTAGGCCCGAAACGTCAGCTTTCCTGCTCCTCTGATGCTGCTTGGCCTGCTGTGTTCATCCAGCTCTACACCTTATTATCTCTAATGAGAGGGAAAGTAAGCTACATAAGTCCTGTGAATGGTGGATATCTAAAATAAAAAAACAAAATGCTGCAGAAACCCAGCAGGCCTAGCAGCGTCTGTGGAGAGCGAAGCACAATTAGTGTTTGAATTCAATATAGTTCTTCCTTGGAACTGAGGAAAGCTATGGAAGTGATGGGTTTTATATTGTAGAAAAAAGATGATGAAGAGCAAGTGCTTTTAATAAATTAATTGCTCAGAAATCTCTAACGGGGGAAAATAGATCCAAGCTAATCCTAGCCGATGAGTATAGATGTTAAGATCCATCAAAAAGGAGAATATATTTGCTGAGTTGAGAGATAAGGTGTGAGACCAAGAAATTATTTTAATGGAAAATTTCACTTAACCCTATATTAATTGGGAAAAACTGAGGTGGGCTAGTGACTTAGCGATAATGCTGATCTATGGTTGACTGTATAAACCACAAAATGCAGTGTTGTCTTAACTTGGCAATTGTGAATAGGAACATTCAGAAAATAGAGAGAATGAGCATCCTGAGTATATAAGGACCACGGAACACTATAAAGCTTACAGAATACACCAAAATGCAGAATTTTAACTTAAAAGCCCTAATTCAAAGGGACAAGGGGAAAAATTAAAACCAATAATTCGGAGGAGAATATCAACAATTTCATATACAAAACACATGGAACAAGATAAAAGCATAAATCTATAAAATTAGAATAAATACGTACAAACAAAGTTGACCTAAATTGATAGTAAATTAGAAGTGAAATGAAAAAGAATGTTCTTCTTGGATATAGAAACAAAATGCAGCTGTACCTCAGGGACTGTTTGAAATTTACCCAACCCCTCCAGACAGGGTATGCTGCTAGAATGTATATATCAAGTTGGCATTGCTAATGTGTCCAATTATTCTTTTGTCTGTAGGATGCAACAATACTGTTTCTGATTTCCACAGAATATATGTATTTAATTTTTATTTCAATAAAACAAGAAAGGCAATTAAGGAACTGAGAACCCTGGGACCAGTTGTTTCATCAGAAGCTCATTTATATTTAATACATTTTGATGGAACGAAGAAATTCCTTTGGAGGAAAATGCTCAAAATGAGGGTAATAAAAACCTCCTTTGTGTTCTAGTTCTGAGGTTCTCAAACCTGGGGGTCTCGAGATATAAGATTGTGATAAAAGGAAGAAGAAAAACAGAAGAAACCTAACTTGCCATGCCAAACTGGCACACCTGGTGGCAGTTTGTCTCACAAAAGAATCAAATCCAACTTGTCCACAAGTTACATGATCTTATGTAACCAATAAGTGAACACCGTGTAGCTTCAGTTTGCTCTGTGTCAATAAAAACAATTCAATCTTCCATTTTCCCAGTTTATATTTTTACAATTGTCTTACAATTGATATCAATTTTGCTGGTACCACTTCTGCCATACTCTTATGCTGTCTTCATGTCGGGGTAGCTGTTGTCAACTGTTTCGATATTGGAATAGTAACAGAATGGTCACAAAAAGTGATCAGCATAAAATGTAAAATACTACATAAATATTTCCTTAAAATATTCTCAAGGGAATTCATGGCACCCCTTCCCACCCCACCAATACAATATGCCCTTTGCTTCAAAAGCATATATTGTTTACAACAGGGATTCCTGTGCAGACAGAAAAATCAAATTTAAAATCTGGTCTGAACAGGAAAGTCTTCCCACACCTGCTCTTTCATCCTTCTTAAAGAAAAAGACACTAGGGATGTACATGCAGCCACTGATAAACAAATGTTGGTTTTATCGGCAATGCCAGTATCCCATGAAAGAATGAAAAAAAGTTCTCCATTCTAGGGCATACCTCTTCAAGAAACAATATGGCCAAAAAGAACAGTGGCTGTTAGTACATATGAACAGTGCGTAATACTGTCATAAAATTGACCTAACCCTGCAAATACTATGTCTATGTAAGCTAGAACTCTTGATATTTGCGAAATGCAGCTGTACCTCAGGGACTGTTTGAAATTTACCCAACCCCTCCAGACAGGGTGTGCTGCTAGAATGTATATATCAAGTTGGCATTACTAATGTGTCCAATTATTCTTTTGTCTGTAGGATGCAACAATGCTGTTTCTGATTTCCACAGAATATATGTATTTAATTTTTATTTCAATAAAACAAGAAAGGCAATTAAGGAACTGAGAACCCTGGGACCAGTTGTTTCATCAGAAGCTCATTTATATTTAATACATTTTGATGGAACGAAGAAATTCCTTTGGAGGAAAATGCTCAAAATGAGGGTAATAAAAACCTCCTTTGTGTTCTAGTTCTGAGGTTCTCAAACCTGGGGGTCTCGAGAGATTTTTCAAGGCATCTGCTAAATACTCAGCAACCTGTTGCTGAACTGAATGAGCTTTGGAATCCTTTAAAAAGGCCAGAGAGGCCTGATTCCAGGATTCTGATCCTGTTTTGGCCAGTGCAGGATAAGAGTCCAACCCTTGTTAGCAATAGAGCGGAGGAGGAAGATCAAATTACCACTTACCACCCACCATATTTGTAGTTGAGTCAGGCCCCCTTCATAAGTAACCATGGTTCAGAGCTTCCAGAAGAATAATAAACCACAGGGACAACCTAGTCTTGAATCATCAACACCGAAAAATTGGCCATTCATCATTCCTATTGAACTACATTAGTTCTCTCACTTTTTCACAAAACTGTCAACTAATCTCAGCCATTTGTATTCTCAATGTCAGAAGTTGTCATGCACTTCAAGCCTCTTAATGTTGTGAAATTAAGCACACATGCAGTGAAAACCTCATCAAAAAACAGCAAGAGAATAGAGATGTCACCCCCTCTCCAGCTGTATAAACATCTGTTGATGAGATCTAAGTGTATGAACCATTCTTCAAGGTCAGCAATTGTTCATAATGAGGCCATATGTGCAACCAGCTTCTGTTGATATACTTGCCAGATAACTTCTGTACGACTACTTGGTTGACCTCCAAGGTTGGTATTTTTAAGAGCTTGTAAAGTGACCAGTGTTCTTTTTTCCCAAAGGATCCTTTCAAAGACTTCACTTACTGTATGAATTTCAGAAATATTTCAAATAATTGTCAAACATGCCAGTGGCTCACTGTTTCTGAGTCTTTTGAATACTGGGAGAGAAGGTAGGGAGAATGTGTTGCAAGGATGGACGATTTGTGCGGACATGAAGGTGCACAGTAGATATGAGGAGACATGGGTGGTAGCAGGTAGGGAGCTATGTATGGTTCAGAGGGGTATGAATGGAGTATGGGGGGGCATGAGGTGAATGGGGAATATGAGAAGTTATGGAGGGAGCATGGGATATGTGAGGAGACATTGGGGATAGTTGGAAGGGAGGAGGGGAGAAATGAGACAACATAGGGGTGTGTAGGAGAATGAAGGTTTAATAACCTGACATTCATTATTTCAACTGGGTTAATATCCTTGATGGTGGGCCCAACTCCATCCAGCCACATTGGAATGAAAATCAAGTGGGCTAAGGAGTGGCAGATGGAATTTAATACAAATAAATGCAAGGTGTTGCATTTTGGTAAGACAAATCAGAGCAGGACTTATAGAGTTAATAGTAGGGCCTTCGGATGTGTTGTCAAACAGAGAAACACGGGTGCAGTTACATAGTTCCTTGAAAGTGGCATCACAGGTAAAATGGTGAAGAAGGCATTTGACATGCTTGCCTTCATCAATCAGAGCATTGAGTACAGGAGATGGGATGTCATATACAATATACAAGATATTGCTAAGGCCACATTTGAAGTGCTGTGTACAATTCTGGTTGCCCTGTTATTAAGCTGGAGAAGGTGCAAAAAAGACTTACAAGGATGTAACTGAGACTGGAGGATTTGAGTTATAATGAGAGGCTGGTTAGGCTGGAACTTATTTCACTGAAGTGTAGGAGACTGAGGAGACCTTACAGATGTTTATAAAATCATGAAGGGCATGAATAAGGTGAATAGCAAGGGTCTTTTCCCTGCGGTAGTGGAATTCAAAACTACAGGCATAGGTTTAAGGTGAGAGGGGAAAGATTTAAATGGGACCTGAGGGACAAATTTTTCACACAGAGGGTGGTGCGTATATACAATGAACTGCCGGAGGAAATGGTAGAGGCAGGGACAGTTGCAATATTTAAAAAGACATTTAGACAGGTGCACAAATAGGAAAGTTTTAGAGGGATATGGGCCAAATGCAGGCAGATGAGAGTAGTTTAGTTTGGGAAATTGGTCAGCTTGGACAAGTTGGACTGAAGGGTCTGTTTCCCTGCTGTATGACTCTATGACTATGACTTTATAAAATGTAGTGCATGTGAAAATGTTTAAAGGAGATGGTCTGCTTCATTGTGTAGTTTCCTGACCCAACCTTACTACCTCTTCCATGACAATCCAACCCGATATGTGCAGAATATGACCAATTTCATGAATGGTTGATGTGGGCAGTTGATGCAAGCTGGCAAATGATTGAGTGTAGTTGCCATGTGAATGCAAGTTGGCCTGTGTGTCTCACCTAGTAGGAGAGAATGCATGGAGGAGCACTGAGAATAGCACAAAGCTCATATTATCTCCAAATAAATACCCATTTCCTTAAAAGAGTATTAAAATACTGCTTTCATACACACTATCATATTATGGCCTGGTATATTCTCCACTCTACAATTACCAATGAACTGGAAGATCAACCTTGATCAAAGGAGGAGTGTAGGAAGGCATGCCAGAACAAAACCAAGCATGCCTAAAATAAAGTGCCAACCTGTTGAAACTATAACACTAGACACCTGCATGCTAAACAGCGTAAGTAGCATTTGATAGAACTAAGCAGCCAAAAAATCAAATCTCATGTCCAGTCATAAATGGTGTCGGACATGAAACAACTAACTTGAAGAGGAGCCTTCATAAATATCTTCATCAATGATGAAGCAGCCCAGCACATCAGTCCAAGGACAAAGCTAATGTTTTGTGTGCCATCTTAAGCCAGAAGTGCCAAGTGAATGATCCATTTCAGGACCTGAGGTTCCCAGTGTCACAGATGCTAATAATCTGCCACTTTGATCCATTCCACATTATCAAAAAATAGCTGAAGTCAATGGATACTGTAAAGGCTACAAGCTCTAAAAACATTCTGTTAATAGAGCTGAAGACATGTTTCAGATCTAACCACGCCCCTAAACTACAACACTGATATCTTCCAGGCAATGTAGAAAATTGCCTATGTGAATCTGGTCCATACAAAACAGGACAAATCTAATCCAGCCAATTACCATTGAAAAGTATTAAGCCCCACAGACTCATGATTAACCTGCTTGATGACACTCAATTTAGGCTCTGCCATTGAGCTCCTAACCTTATTATGGCTTTAGCCAAATGTGGACAGAAGAGCTGAACTCAAAAGGTGTGGTGAAACTGACAACTTTTAATATCAGGCCAACATTTGACCAAGTATGGGATCAAGGATTCTAAGCACAATTAGAGTCAATAGGAAACAAGGAGAAAAGAAAATGCTCCACTAGTTAGAGTCATCCCTTGCACAAGTAAGATGGTTATGGCTGTTAGGGGTCAATCATATTAGTCCTATTGCTGCAGAAATTCCTCGGGGTAGTGTTCTAGGCTCAACTACTTTGAGCTGCTTTATCAATGACCATCTTCCCTATCATTAGTCAGAAGTGAGGATGTTTGCTGATGAATGCACAATGTTTAGCAATATTCATAACTTCTTAAGTGTTCCAAATCGATATGCAGTAAGACCTGGACAAGACTGGGCTCACAAGTGGTAAGTAACATTCACCTCCAAGAAGAGCCCTAAACATAACCATGTCCCTCTGAAATTCAATGCAACTAACATTCCTGTAGGTGCCATAGCAACATTCTGGAGGTTACTCTTGGCCAGAAACTGAATGTGACCAGCAAGACAAATACTGTGTCTACAAGATCAAGTCAGGATATGGGGATTCTGCAGCCAGTAACTCACTTCCTGACTCCCCAAGGCCTGTCTACATTCACACATCAGGAAGGGGATGGAGACTCTGGAGTGCCTTCCCCAAGACCAATCCAATCATCAGAACTATATCTTCAGCAGGCCTATCATCTGCATCTATTTGAAGAATAGATAACATTGTATCCACGCTCTGTTTCAGATAAGGGTTTACATAACAGAGTAATCAGCCACGATTGTAGAGGGTAGCCCTTGCGTCCCAGTAATCATCTTTGTAAGGCATCTGGTCCTTGAAATAAAGCAGGAACGTAATAGTTTTGAAGGATATAGACATCATGGCAGCTTTCCGGGTACCTAGCACAGCATTCTAAATGTGGTACAAATGATCACAGATGAACTCATACACTGATGGAATG